CTATCGGAGATAAGATAAGAATCGTGTCACACTAAACCATATCCATCATAGTGTTTACTGCATCAGGCTAGTGCGGGGTGCTTACCTCATCCACCCAGAGGAGCCCAACTTTTTTGAATCAATAATTGCATCCAAATCCCCCCGCAACTTCCCCCTCCATCCCCGTGTCTATACCCCCTTTTTCACGCCTATACCATCACAATGGCTCTCCCCGCCTATAAGACCACCTTCCTGGAGTCCTGCCTGTCGGCCAATGTGCTGACCTTTGGCACCTTCACCCTGAAGTCGGGTCGCCGTACGCACCCCTCCAACACCCGCATCATCCAACCTGAAGACATACTGACGGTTCATAGACTCCCCCTACTTCTTCAACGCCGGCATCTTCAACACCGCCTCTCTCCTCTCCGCTCTCTCCACCGCATACGCCCACACCATCATCACCTTCCTCGCCGAGAACCCCTCCATCCCCAAGCCCGACGTTATCTTCGGGTACATTCCCTTTCCCCTTCCCTCCCCCCGCTCCCTCACCCCCCGCTAACAAAGCCATGACAAAATCAGCCCCGCATACAAAGGCATTCCCCTCGCCTGCGCCACCCTCCTCGAACTGAACCGCATCGACCCCGCCACCTGGGGCAGCGTGTCGTACAGCTACAACCGCAAGGAAGCGAAGGACCACGGCGAGGGCGGCAACATTGTCGGCGCCGCTCTGAAAGGCAAGACGGTGCTTGTGATTGACGATGTCATCACGGCCGGTACCGCGATGCGCGAGACCCTCAACCTCGTCGCGAAGGAGGGCGGCAAGGTCGTTGGATTCACTGTTGCTCTGGACCGCTTGGAGAAGATGCCCGGACCTAAGGACGAGAATGGAGTTGAGGACGACAAGCCGAAAATGAGCGCTATGGGCCAGATTCGTAAGGAGTATGGTGTGCCCACCACGAGTATTGTTACTCTGGACGACTTGATCAAGTTGATGCAGGCGAAGGGCAATGAGGCCGATATGAAGAGGTTGGAGGAGTATAGAGCTAAGTATCAGGCTAGTGATTAGGGTGGTGTAGGTAATTGGTTGGTGGATTGGGGGTTAGGGTTTGGGTGTAGGAATTAAAAGTTGTATGCATAGGGGCCTGGAGAGGTGCGTAAAGACGATTACGAGATGTCCAATGTCAGAAATGTGAACAAATGACTCTTCGGCGGATAGTCCTTGTTTATAGCTGTGTTAGTTCGGAGAGATGCTGGACTCGCCATGAGGCTAGCACAGTCGGTGGTTGCCATATTCCCAGGCTTGAAGTGACCGACGCTCGTTTGGCTGACGTGGTGGTTCATTAATGGGGACTATGTCGGCCTCTATGGCGTGCTGCAGTAAAGCTCGAACTGGGGCATGCACTATGACGCCCTAAGGGGGCCGACTACTACTTGGTCACCAGGAAAACTCCTGAAAAGGGTGCGTGATCGATTGGCTGTAGATGCTGAGCTCTTCGAAGCTTAAAACTATGTTGATTGGCAGGGCATTTCCCCTGTATATCGTTCACATCGCGCGGTTACTCTGGAAATTGATCGTGATCAAGGGGACAAAAAAACTAACCTAATCACTGGCGGTTTCTCGCACGGATCATGTACTTAGCGCAGAAGCGTCCAGGTGGATGGGAATCGTCCTCATTAACAAGAACACTATGAAAATCCTCGGTATTGAATGTCTGATAGTCTGGATGATCTTTCCTTTGATTTCTTGAGCGAGCTTTCCAGAACAACTCAGTTCACCATCTGATTCTCTTCATGACAGTGGCTGGGTTTGATACAACGATCATATACCTTACTTTCAACACGGACTAGACTATCATCTGCACGCTATGATCATCAATTTATCCTAGATTTGAAGTGAATAGCTTCAAATTTATACATATCCGTCACCGACAAGTTGGAGGTAGCTTTGATAATATGGTTATGACGGATCTATATATTTGACGGTAACTGTTATCCACTGCTAGATACCCTGCTGTAACTTACCGCCCGCTATTACTTTGTGGTGGCATGTCAATCGCAGAATGGTCTCGGCCCGTGTTCTGATTTCCGGTTTCGCTTCTAACCAGTGATATATCGGAGGTAGGCCCTTTGTTTCTTGCAGGATTCTGTTCGGAGTTTTCTCGAAGCTGAGCAGTCCACCTATCATTGGCCTCTCGGGATAATCTCGGCACCGAACCATCTCCGAGATGCCGATTGACGCATGGTAGCTATCAGCCACATTCTGGAATGCTCGTAACCGGGATCTGCTTGTTGCGCGATTAAGCATCCCGTCCCTGGTTGATCTGATGGAACTGCAGATTTTTATTCACTCAGCTAGGGGATGACGTGTTTCGATGCATTGGTATTGCTGCAGTGAGATTGACTCGGAGCTTCGTGCCGTGCAACATCGGAGATGGTCGTACAGCAGGTAGATTGCTGTCACTCAATTGATGCACCTGTGATTTACCTTGTGTAAAGAAGCTCCCTGCTGTGAAACCGCACTTCTGAAGTTCCAGGGCAGTTCAGCTGTGGTGTGACAGACACAGCTGCGGCTCTGAGATAAACCCATGCAATCTGGATTATCTGGATTGCCCCTGACTAGTTAGCTATCTATTAACCTGGAATGTCTGATTCATTGTAAGTGTTGAAAGGAAGAAAATTTCTCACTCTTGATTGTAGCTAACCTGTTTATCAGGTCTATCGGGAACGGCATCAGCCCAATGGCGGCACCGGCGATAGCTCGGCATCGGAGATGGATCGGCGTGTCGTATACATGGAATCATCAACTCAAGTATATAAAGCCCTACAGTTCCAGTTCTATATACCATCAACATCAGCTCAACTGCAATAGACTATTTCGTCTAGACACTTCCATCTAGACTTAATAATAATCACATCATGTCGTCAACACCAGACCCGGCCAATGGCCCATCCCATCCTGCCCTATACAGGACAGAAACGAGGCAATCCCTCGAGAACCGCGGAATATCAGAGAAAGCACCACCGACAGACTACAACTATCCCGATGTCGGTCGAGAAGAGGACCCTGTCTTTCCGGAGGAATACACCGTCGAGACCAACACCGGCCTTGTCCCCGAACGAACACTCGAACAGATGCGCTCCCGCACATCCTCACATCACACATCAAGCTCCGACATCGAGAAAGCCAAAGAACCAGCAGAATTCGTCACCTTCACCATCAATGATCCTGAGAATCCCTTTAACTGGTCTCGTACATACCGCTGGTATGTTACAATGATCGCCTCTCTCCTCGTCGTCTGTGTCGCCTACGGCTCCGCCATTGTCACCGGTGGCCTCGGCCTCATCGAAGAAAAGTACCACGTCTCCCTCGAAGTCGCAACCCTCACCTGCTCCATCATGGTCTGCGGATTTGCCGTCGGCCCTCTTCTCTGGTCCCCTCTGTCTGAAATAATCGGCCGCCGTCCCGTCTACATCATCTCTCTCGTCCTCTACACCATCTTCAACATCCCATGCGCCCTGTCCCCAAACATCGGCGGCCTTCTCGTCTGCCGCTTCCTCTGCGGTGTCTTCTCCAGCTCCGGTCTCTCTCTTGCCGGCGGCACAATTGCCGACATTTGGAACCTCGAAGACCGCGGCATGGCTATCGCCTTCTTCGCCGCAGCCCCCTACTGCGGACCCGTCATCGGTCCCATCGTCTGCGGCTGGATCACCGTCGGTGCCCACCGTCTCGACCTCTTCTTCTGGACTAACATGGCCTTCGCCGGCGCCGTACTTATCCTCGTCGGTCTAATTCCAGAAACCTACGCCCCCGTAATCCTTAAACGCCGCGCTGCCCGTCTCCGCAAAGAAACGGGAAACCCCAACATCATCACGGAGCAGGAGAAGCACAAGCTCACCCTGCACGATATCATCCGCACCAGCCTCATTCGCCCCATCACTATGATCCTGACCGAGCCCGTCCTCGATCTCATGTGCATGTACATCGTGCTCATCTACAGCATGCTCTATGCTTTCTTCTTCGCCTACCCAGTCATCTTCGGAAAGTTGTACAACTACAACGACGGCCAGATCGGACTGATGTTCATTCCCATCCTTATCGGCGCGGGCTTCTCCCTTCTTTTTACACCCCTCGTCGAGAAGCACTTCCACCGTATATGTCTCTCCCGTCCACCTACCCCGGAAGACAGACTCATTGGTGCGTTGATCGGTGCGCCGTTCGTGCCTATCTCGCTTTTTATTCTCGGTGCTACTTCGTTCAAGCATATCATCTGGGTCGGACCGGCATCATCAGGAATCGCGTTTGGGTTTGGCATGGTGCTGTGCTATTATGCGGTCAATAACTATATCATTGATAGTTATCAGAAGTATGCGGCTTCGGCGCTGGCTGCAAAAGTGTTTTTGAGATCGGGTGGAGGTGCGGCCTTCCCGTTGTTCATTACCCAGATGTATGATCGTTTGGGTTTGCAGTGGGCGTCGTGGTTGTTGGCGTTTATTGGGGTCGGGATGGTGTTCATTCCGTATGTGTTCTATTTCTTTGGCGGGAGGTTGAGGGAGAAGTTGGGGAGGAAGGAATAGATTTGGGGATGGAGGGTAAATTGGAGATGTGGTAATGAACTTATAGATGATTAGAACGAGAATATAGATAGATTAATGTGTTACACCTTTTAATTGCAAAATTATTCCCTATTCTGCTTCGCCTTGTTTTGTCCCTTATCTCATATGGTTGTCGGATTCGTTTTCAGCTTTGCTCATGCTTGCTTTTTTTGGGTGCCAACCCCGCCTAGTCTTCTACCATTGAATCCCCGAGGAACGCCGGTGATTTCGTATCCTCCATTCCTTCTACAGCCTTGTGGACGTGCTGCCTCTGAAAATTAGGCATCCATGCAGATCGGGACACTGCCAAGTTATAAGTGCGCTAATATAAAGTTTAAGCTTTTTCCAAGCTTCCATCGATTGTATTCTATCAAATGGGAGGCTTCTGGTGTCACACAGTGTTTTGACTTCATTCGGCTTTCCCATATCTTTTCTTCAGCACAGACGGTGGCGTAAAGATTGAGAACTATCGTTAATCGTTTGACTGCCGACATGACTTGGTTTACCGGTGCCCGAGACACGTCTGATAAAGGCTGGCATTTTGATGCTGTCAGTCTCTTAGCTGTAATTGGGGAGTCCATCATCGAGAGGCAGAAGCATCTTATAGTGGCTTCACCATTTTGTGCTCTACCGCGACTTTTACCGGCGCCACAAGCCATTTTAAACACGGGTTCGACGACCCAGCTGCCACCGGTTACCAATGTGTCTGTCATTGGTGTATATTCAGGGAGAACTTACAATCAAATGGGTTACTTCGCCGGACTTATCCATGAGGTGGACAACTTGGAACCTTATGAATTTCGCGCTTATCGCATCGGTCATACGGAACGCTACTACACTGAAGCCAAACCCGGTAGCCTGGAAGAATATCACGAACCCGCTAGAACGAGGATCGGCCTGCAGTTTCTCTGCCCCATGAATATCCTTACATTAGCATCTGTTCTCTTAACGATTGGTTTGGCTATTTGGTCGATCATCCTCCACGATGGTGTCGGTTTGCTTGCCATAATCACCATTTCGATATCCAGCAGCCTTGCATGTCTTTCGCAGCATTCCTATCCAGAAGTCGAGAGGAAAGAAGAATACGCCAATGAGCAAGAGAAACTTGTTATCAGGACCCGCAATGGTGCTGTTATTGTCGTTCAGTGCACCGAGGATATCGCCCAGGAACTATATCTAAACCCAGAACATTACAAGTATACCTTGAAGCCGGATCAAACTCTCTTCAAATTCCTGATGGTGGCCAGCACCGTTCTACTCATGATCTCCGTGCTTCTTCTAAGCAACTGCGGGTGGACAATGCAGACAGCTATCGCTGTTACCTACATCCTGCTGAACTTTTTTTACTGGGCCATCTCAGTGCTGCTTAATAGGCCAAACTCCTGGGATTTACTTGGATTTAAAGTGGAAGTGTACAATTATAGAAAATACGCTAGTTATACGTATGCACTCTGGTTTGCGATCCGGGAAACAGGCGAGGTTGGGTGGGTTAAAGAAGCTCGTTTATTACCTGATTCGGAAGCGTGGAATGCCTGGTTAGAGGAGGCAAAGCAAAACATCACGAATTCAAACTAGGAACCTGAGGAGGCAAGACTTCGATTGATGGCAGAAGCATCATTGTCAAGTCGCGTCCCTGTGTCAGAAGTTGTCTGATGGACTAATAGAGCAAATATACACCCTTTGCCATGATCACCAGGGCAAGGAACTGACCAATACCTTACTATCATTATGATTGAAACTATAATTCCATTGATCGTATATAGAAACACCCACGTCGACATCGGCTTGCACTTGTGATAACAGATTCTATTTAAATTGAGAGGCCTGATCTTGAGGTCTAAGTTTGCAATAATTTTGAACTACGCAGAAGCCAGGGTGTTGCGCTGTGGAACGTGGACATAAATTGTTTTATCTCTGTGTCTATAGGGACCAATGGGCGTAATTATTCTCTGTACGATGGAAAGCCGTTCGCTAAAGTCACTGCGAGACATTATAGGATTCTTCTACGGTGTATTCTCCAGTTATGCCAGGTCTATAAATCTCGTGATCGGATGGATTAACAACCCATCCAGGTCACGCATGTTGTATGCTCCCTTCTCATCATCCCGAATAGGTACTGCCTCTGTGGTCTTTGAAAGACGACTAGTGAAACCGCGGGACAATAACAAGCCAACAATTCTTGCTGCTTCGATGGTTTTGATTTCCTCATCGCTCAGCCCTCCAGCTTCCTTCTTGAATTTGCTCCAGAATATATCCTCTAATGTGACATAATCGTCGTATCTCATCCAACCGCCCTTGAGATGGACCTTACTTATCAGTCGTTGGTGGGAGTGAAGGTTTAGGCCAAACGGTGCAACCTCTGCTTCGGCCCAATCCACCACCCCAACTAGGTTGCATGTGGTTTCGTTCACCATGATATTACAGACCCCAAAATCCCTATGTAATAACACCATAGGGAGAGAAAAGATAGCAGGCAAAGAGCTGATTGATTTCTGAATCAAGGGGCGAAATCGGTCCGGCAGAGATATGAGTAGTAACTCAAGCTCGCTCTTATATTGATGATATAGACTATCGCGGTAGCTCTGATCAACGATTTGGGGTGATTTCCACGAAAGCGCAAAGAACCTATAATGTCACTAGTCAGGAATTTGACAGGCAACGAGGCGCACTAGACATATCGCGACGTCAATTACCAGATTCTCGCGCCATGAAGAAAACTCGGCTGAATTTTCGGGAAACTGATTGTTGTGCGCCAGGATAAAATCCAAGTAGCTAATTCCCTGTATTCTATCCATGACATAGATATGAAGGGCTTCCTTTCCCACTAATTCTTTCCCAATCTGTCCCCTAGTGATGACCTCAGGAGCAAACTCTCCATAAATGGCGCGTGCCAGATTTACTGTTTCCATGCTTAAACGAGAAGACTTAAGGCGGAATTGAACGACAAACTCGTCATTCGGCCCAGCATAGACCGTATAGCTGCATACGCCCTGCACAGCTACCGGAACGATTTCACCACCAAGATGTTCTCTTGCAAAGGCATCGCAGGCCGAGCGAGTCGCCGTAGTCCGCTCGAAGAAGCTTGCAATCGCTTGATCAACAGAGTAGTCAAGGCTAGAAGTAGCCATGACGCATATGAGATTGCGGCGTTGGATGGATATAAGTGATTAACTGATGATGCAGAGATGCAGTCGGAGGATGCGAAGACTCGGGCGCTGACCTTGGCTTTTACAACCCTGTGATCAAGGGCGATGGCTCAATCTCGAACGGCAGCGTCCACGTGACAACATCCACCTGTTGGCGCCACGATGCTTTACGATCGCGGTGTACATAAACTTTACTATCTAGTTTGATGGTTTGATGAAGTGGATGGTTCTCTTTCAGATGCCGGGGTTACTTCAATTTCCTTATCATCCACTCCTATGCTGTTTACCCGGTTGTCGAGCTATGTAGGCCATGGTTATCGACTGCATCCACAACGTTATCATTCTACAACTACACGTCCCGCCATATAGGGTTTCGAAGGGATATAATAAAGTATAAGTTTTACAGAGGTTTTGCAACCCTTCACTTTTTTTAGTAACTGTTTTATATCGAGTCTTTGCTTCAGAGGCAAATCTCTTCATGACTGGGTTAGCAGTTTTGACTTCCTTTTTCGTAGGATCAGTTCCGGCCCTGCTAAGTGTTCAAGACTGCGCATGTGAGCTACGTTGAACAGTACGGGACCATCATAGCCTGCGGTCATGGCAGTTGGTAACGAGATGCTGACGCTGCTAGAATACATGGTGTTTTCTCCGTCCCTAACGGCAATGGTATTCTTCAAACCACATATCTCAATCATTGGAGAATGTTAGATGCTTTGCGATGTCGAAGCCATACATCCAACTATAACCATAAGAGCTCTCAATGTCCCCGTAAACGCGCACTGACTTGCTCGAACACCCATCTTCACCAAGATAGCTGGTGAAGAACTAAAGCCTGTCCTCATACGGCAAAACCAGCTTGTTAGTCTAAGCCTTTGAATTGGGGAGATAGAGTAGAATCATTATTTTGATTTTTGAGCTCTCTGCATGGAGTAACCTGTTTGCCAATAGACCTTCCAGAGCTTTGCGTAATTCTTCACTCTTATCTAGGAAGCTTAATTGATATTTTGCCCAAGGTTAAACAAGGATATAAGTAGTCCTACCTGTAAGATGTCGCAGACCTCAGCACATATGATGAGGCTGAAACACTTGCTTCCATTATAGGGAAATTCGCATTCAGTTTTCCACTCCCTAGAGCCCCTTTTCGGATCTGTGTTTCTAGACCCTCACGGTAGAGAGGCCAAGCGAGAGTTTGACAACATCACTCAGTAACTCATGGCATATATTAAATCTGAGCATCCAAGCCATTACCATCACTTGTCAGGGACTCAAAAACGTCTTCTTAATATCTCCGGTAACTTCATAATCATGGCTGTTGCGTGTCGAGATCGAGGGTCTTTATAGCCTCGATATGTGTCGGATCCTGTGGCAAATTCCGCCGTATTGTCTGCTGCGACAAGCGTATTAATTCTATTCTTGATTGCAGTCCTCTTCATCTTCATCTCTTGCATGATTCTCGGCATTCTTCCAATTATGGGTGGCCTCAGCCAAGACCCTATACAGGTCCCCGAGGTTGGTACAATAATGAGCGCGATGAGATGCCGCTCTCCGTAATGGATACACGCTCTCAATCACTTCATGTTTCCATGTAGACCTATAAGGGCTTGCCATTCATAGCTAACATGCAGCGGCAAGAGCTTGTCCGTAATGTGTAATATGCCGAGCTCCGCAGAACGGGAATAATATGTTGTTTTTCCCCGATTCAGCCATCACCATCAAGGACGCTGTAGGTTCATTTCTTAAGATACCACCTGCTCCTCGTCAATTTCCAGTTATTTGATTGAGTTGTTGGGAAGCAATATCACTGTTTTGGCCGCGTTGATTACGGCCCACCAACCATCTATGACGGGAAATTGAAACCGCGCCTATGGAACGGCACAATGAGTTCTCTAAATCGGTTACAGGCTCCATCGTGGTGGAAACATCTCGCAAGCTAGATCGAGGCAGGAAAATGCAGAACAGCGAACCTGAGTAGCATCGGTGAAGGGAAGAGGGGTCAACAGGATTACCAGATAGCGTAGCCATCCCGGCTGATACTGAAAAATAGAGATATAAAGCTCCAAGGCCAACCTTAGACAGGAGTATTCGATTATCAGCCCCTGGCCCAGCGGAGTGTTGCTTCACCCATGCCACCAGCTGTGCCACCTCCTGCATATCAACACCTGGAGAATGTCGTCACCGCGCCCCTGCTTTGCACTCGACGAGTGCCATAATCCGATGATTGGAGACCTCCTCAAGTTGGCCATCAGTATAAGCGACGTATTGCCGCTTACGCTGCGGTGTGCCAAAGTCTGCCGTCAACTTCCTTCTGCCAGTCGACCACTGGCGCTTAATAGGCTGATTGAGAAGCGCCGCAATAGCGGTTAAGAAGGAGAGGGAGGCGGCGTTGACACTGGCTTCTTTAGGACCCTCAAAGCGCGTACCCCTCGCCTGTTCGTAATTCACATGTCCTTACCAAGTAGCCGCAATAGATACTAGATAGCAAGGAATGGAATATAAGCCGGTATATCACTTTATAGAAACACCGTTAATTGGCCATCTAGACCAGTATTTCTGATATTTCCAGATATATATAATCCATGACTAGCTTTACGTATTTTATCAAGACCATGCAAACAGGACTTTTATCGATTCATGTAATGGGTGACTTCAACGCATAGCTTTCATCACATGATAGTTGAGGAAGATAAAGACCGCAGCAGGCATTGAGCCTGGCTGTGTTCAGCTATCGATAGGACCTCTAGTCGTATACACATGGTTACTAGGCATATGCGTCGCAGATAGCAAGTGAAGTCAGCATTGTATTGAGGTCTTCTGGCAATCGATGTTATCTTTTTTTTCCTAGCACACGGATCTTGCTGCGATGAATAAAATTTCGATAATAATTAATATCAATGATGGAGAAACATCACTGATTGGTCGCTTAAGCAGTGGGATATTTGTGGACCGGAAGGAGACTTTATCTCCTTTTGAAATCTTGCCAGTCTACAACCTGTCATTTCTCAGCAACCCGTTTGCGGCTGCTCTTTCTTGAGCATGGGTGGAGTGCATCAGATCTTCCAATTTGTTTGTGATGGTAAAGAAAGGCTTATATAGTAGTCGGCAGCAAACAGGTGGAGTTAGGAATAACCTCAGTCCTCTCCGGCTGCATTTGCCAACTCCCGACCGACCAGTATTGCGAGAAGATAACCTGGGCAGTATAGCGTGCATGGCCTTCATCATCATCATCCGACGAATCATTTGCAGGTTCTGTGTTGTACTTGCGTATATGTCTGTCTGAAAGGGTATATAGTTTCTCGGGCTATCCACTTGGAACTAAGGATGCGGTTTCCCTTCGGAGGGTCCTAGCATATTTTTTATATATGAGGAAACATTATTTATATAGAGAATATGAAGAGTAGCCAGATAGGAGAGCAGAAGTAGAGTTATATATTTACAGTGAAGAAAGTGAAGGGCTTGCAGCAGTGCATTTTCAGCATCCCCGATCCAGTGCCATTGAGTATATCATTGTGAATATATTGTAGTGCTAGATCATTCATTCGGAAACAGCACTCCTTATTAGATCGTGTACTCAACGTCTAAGTGACTACGACTTCATCTTAGAAATTCACCCTGTAACTCAACCACAAAGAAATTAGAAGTCCACAACAGACTTTCAACCAATTTCTATGATTAGCCATCACACGACAAGGAAGTTCTAGGGAGGAATTGAGCCTCCTATACATCGCCTGCAAAAAGCCGGAAATTCCCGACACCACTCCAATGTTCCAGCCGCAGCGCACAGACAGCCAACTCGTATCCACATGAGATTTAAGACCAGGGGAGCGCGCGTTGAGCAGACCAAATGCTGTATGATAAGAGTTCTGGCCTGACTGCCAACAAAGGAATCATATGTGCGCGGTGCTCGCCGGAATGTGATCGGGTGAGATGATGCGAACCAATCGGGACGAGTACCCACATGGCGTATCCTTATGAGAGACATCCAAGCTGTATGGTCTCGACTAGTTCATTCCCCGGGACAAGACTCGCCAAGCTGATATTAAGTAAATATTTATTGTTATCGGCTCGGGTTCAGGCTTGTGATGAAGGGAGTCGGGTTGTTGTTACGGCATCCCGAGGCAGGGCTGATCAGGCAGTGGAGCAACATGAAGCTATCCTTACTTCGGGTGTGCAAGCAAAGCATGTGAAACCGGCAGATTCTGACGTGGTGTGCAATACCTGCCATGCGGTGTCAACGTGGGAAACCATTCAGTCTGATAGCGGATCACAGTTTCACTTCCACCGCATGGTATGTCTGTGCTTGGCGACGATGATTGGGTCGTCAGGGGTTACTGGATGATTCCTGATCCTTCGGCTGGAATTGCCAGGTGATGGCAGCATCGGTCGGCCTCGCCGGGGATAAGCCAAGCTGACACAAGACAAGGTAAGCAGACAAGAATTATTGTAGCTACTGGTAGGGTAACACGTCATGTTGCTGCATGATTAGCATGGGGGGATAAGACCATGCCAATCGATCATGTTATTCACCGCTGCAGTTCATAACAAAGACTTTCATTTCGATCTTATTCCATCGGTGCATAACTTGCACAACCGCGGAAAGGTTATGCGGAATGCCACGTTCTAAAGCCTTATTCCACCGCATTTTCTTTCTCTCGGACCCACCACTGATTCAGCGCCTCCATCTTCAGTTTATTGCCACACATTAAGTGGCTGTTGATATCCCGCTGACTCGCCTGATCAGGGATGCCCTAACAAACTCCAACCAGATTAGCCATCAATCCCAGCGGCTCTGCATGTCACGACAAACGCTTTTTCTTGCACATTATTATATCCTGCAAATTATGCATGCCGTTATCTCCGTCCAGACTATTTTAAAAACACCCCATCCGCCATGGCTTTCCCATTTTCCATCGTCACGAATTCCACCCTAGTCTCTCTTTCTCCTTGTGCAGAACCCAACTGCCATCCTCATCATGCCCGACCTCGAGGATCAATCCGAGAAGCCCACTTCTCCAGTCCAGTCCCCCGCATCCAGCACCACCACCATTGCCGCCCTCTACCCCGAAACCGATCTCGACAAGGGCATCATCGGCTGGGACGGTCAAGATGACCCCAACAACCCGCAAAACTTTGCCCCGAAACGCAAATGGATGCTCCTCGCCCTAATGAGCTCCTTTACCTTCATCTCGCCGCTGGCGTCGAGCATGTTCTCCCCCGCTATCAGTTACGTGGCCGCCGACTTTGGCGTCACCAATGAGACCCTCCTCTCCTTCAGTGTCACCATCTTCCTTCTCGGCTACACAGTATGCACCCCCTTACCCTCCCCACACCATAAACCGCTCCCATACTAACAACCTCAGATTGGCCCCCTCTTCCTCGCCCCCCTCAGCGAAATCTACGGCCGCCGCATAACTTTGAGCGCCGCAAACTGGTTCTTCGTCGTCTGGCAAATTGGCTGCGCGCTCGCCCCCAACCTCTCCGCCTTGATCGTCTTCCGTCTCTTCGCCGGCATGGGCGGCGTCGGCTGCATCACCCTAGGCGCCGGCGTCATCGCCGACCTCTTCCCCCGGACCCAGCGTGGCATGGCCACCTCCATCTGGGCTATGGGCCCCTTGATCGGCCCCGTCGTCGGCCCAATCGCCGGTGGCTTCATCGGCGAAACCATCGGCTGGCGCTGGGTATTCTGGATCCTGCTCATCGCCAGCGGCACCATCGGAGCCTGCATCGAGCTCCTCAACCGCGAAACCTACGCGCCCGTCCTAATCCGCTGGAAAACAGCGAAGCTCGCACGCGAACTCAACCGTCCTGAACTTCGCAGCGCCTACGACATATCCCAGGGCACGACACCCCCGACTGTCTCCCAGGCGCTAATGCAGGGTCTCCGCCGTCCCATCATCCTCATCTGCAAGAGTCCCATCGTCCTTCTCCTCTCCATCTACATGGCCTTCGTCTACGGCCTCCTCTACCTCTTCTTCACAACCATCACCTCCGTCTTCGAACAGACCTACGGCTTCTCCACCGGCCTCGCGGGCCTCTCCTACCTGGGTATCGGAGTGGGCTTCTTCATCGGCATGACTGCCGTCGCAATGACCAGTGACCGCATGGTCGTCAAACTCACCGCCCGCAACAACGGCGTCTTCCAGCCCGAAATGCGTCTCCCCACGATGATCATCTTCGCTTGCTTCCTCCCCATCAGCTTCTTCTGGTATGGCTGGTCCGCGAAGTACGAGGTTCAGTGGATCGTGCCGATCATTGGTATGGCGCCGTTCGGCATCGGCATGATGGGCATCTATATGCCGATCCAGACGTACGTGATTGATTGCTACCCGGCGTATGCGGCCAGTGCGAATGCGGCGCTCACGGCGACGAGATCGTTGGTCGGTGCCGTGTTGCCGCTTGCTGGGCCGAAGCTGTTTAGCAGTTTGGGGCTTGGTTGGGGGAACTCACTCCTGGGATTTTTGGCGTTGGCATTTGTGCCCGTACCGATTTTCTTCAATCGTTATGGGCAGAAGATTCGGGAGAAGTGGGTTGTGAAGTTGGACTAATGCCCCTACGACCACTTGTGCATTTTCTTTGTGTTACCAAAAAGTTTTAGTGGGCATATTTATAGATAATATACGTACATATATGTGCATATATACATTAATAGAGATATAAATAGTATAACAGAAGATGATATTACAGAGTGATTTGAGTCACTTGAAGTAAAAAGATTATCCAATCTCCATCAACACCTCACCCACATCCACCCCCCTGACAACATCCGGCCAGACATCCACAAACTCCCTCGTTATGCCCCATCCCTCCTTATACATGATCATGTTTTTGAACCGCGTCTTGATGACCAAGTCATTCTTCTCGTCCCTCTCCAAGAGACTCTCTCCCCATGGCCACCTTACCTTCATACAACATGCCAGAAACCCAAAAAGATCGTCCCTCTGTCGTGAATACACCTCCCACTCGCGGATAAGAGTCACCCTGATCTCAGGCCAGATTAACATATCCAGTGACGCCGGGTGTGGGATACGCAGCTGTTCCTGGACGGGGTGCATGAAGGTCGGCAGCTTGGCGAATGTCTCTGAGGTGGGGTTGAAGAGCCATTTGCTGTAGTGGTAGCTGAGCCAGCCAAAGGCGAGACGCTCGGGGTCACGCAGGGGACGACGGAGGGAGGTGGTGTAGATGGCGTTGGCGAGGGGGTTGGTGTTGGTGCCGTAGAGGAGGTCGAGGGGGTGAGGGGACGGAGGGCAGGAGATAATTGTGGATGGGGGGAGGGTGAGCCAGAGAAGGGAGGGGGTGGTGGGGAGGTCGGAGTGCAGAGGGAGGAGGGAGTAGAGATGTGGTATTGATTCTTCCTTGTTGGTTTGTGGTGGTGGTGGTGGTGGTGGTGGTGGTGATAATGATGATGATGGTTTTGGTGTTGTGGTGTATGACTGGAGAGGCGGTAGTGGAAGTTGCGTCGGTGGCTGTGGTTGCAGTAGATGCGATGGGGATGATGATGGATCTTCCCACGATGTGATCAATGACTTTAGTCCCTCTTGACGATTTCGTAGAACTTGGTTCTCTTGTTGCAGGCCCTCTATTACTTGTAGGAGATGCTGCGTGCCGCTGTCGTCGTGGTAGCGCTCGCAATGCGCCACTTTGTCTTCTAGCTGCGCGGTGTATTGCTGCTTCTTTGTGCGCAGGGTTTGTTGGGCGCGACGGTCCCGGAGGCGCTTTTTTTCTGCTGAAGAGAGGGACATGTGTGCCGATGGTGCAGTAGAAGGAATTTAGTGGGAGCTGGGATAGATTCTGGAAATGAGACTAAGCCTGAGATTAAGTTGTGGAATAAAGCCGGAGATAAAGTCGAAGGGACTAATGTCGGAGGTGGAGTTATGCACTGCGTCACGGCACAAGTTGTGCATGTCCGGGACGAAGGTCATTGGTGAGGGTGTGTGTGGAAATACCATGTGTTCGTGGCAATAATCAATCATATTGGGGCTGGTGATCAAGTTAACAATAGCCAACTAAGTCATGTATGTGAAATAGTGCTTGCTAGTAAAAGATTTGTGATCTGTTGTCAAGACACAGGGTTGGACATATCTGGGAATTGATCTACGAGGACTCGAGTTATGGTTGTAGATAGGTGTAAGAGGTGGTCAGCGACCACGCAGACAGAAGACGGCGCGGAAGTTCAGATGATACCTGGCTACAGGGAATGATTCAACATCTGTTATTTTTGTTTGCTCACATACGCCGCACTAAGATTAAGTCTATATATGGGAAGGCCAGCTTCCTACAGCCCCCGAAACCAAGGATCCGACAGTAACCCTTGCACAGTATCCCTCTCATCTCCTTTCCACCGCAGCATTCGCGATATTACGTTGATAAAGGCCTGTTTATCGTCACCTTCAACGTCGTGAAGAGTTTTATCAAGTCCTCCACTCTCTAGGATCAGCCCTGGATGCTTGAATTTGCCTGCATTGAGATCAGTAAAGCTCCAACATTGCTAGCCGAGAAGAGTGATTACCTTCAGTATCAAAATATCGAGAAGCATACTTCGCCTCATGAAGCATATCCACAGGTGGAGGTCCAAGTACCGATATAATGCGAGCCAGATGAGCTTCCTCCGTGAAGGTAGAGTGTTTAGAGTCTGGTCCATCAAAAGGACCACTGCCGTGGGCTAGTTCCACAAGCTGGATCATTATTAGCAATTTACAATATCTGCGAAGCGAGCAATAAGCCATACCAAAGCACCCAGGTTCCATATATCGGCACTGTACTTCCAACCTGCTCCAAGAATAACCTCTGGGGCCCTGAAACTATCCGGTTGAATGGGATGGTAATGAGTCTGAGACCCTTCCACAGCCAGTCCGAAATCAGTGATCACTGGTCTGCCCAAGCTGTTTGCTTCCACGCCGAAGTGATTTCTCGAAAGGTATGTTGTTCGGTCATCGAGCTGTTTCTGAGGCAGTGGTTCTTTTACTTCATCCTGAGACACTCTATCAAGTATGGAGTGGTCACGGAGAGCCATGAGAACATTGTCGGATTTCAAGTCTAACCAATGATTGGTAATTCACAGCTTGCCTCATTTTTTTCTCAAAAGCCATACCTGTATGAACGACCTGACATTCAGAGTGGAGATAGCCAAGCCCTTCCAGAATCAATTTGGCAACAGGTTTGAGAACGTCCAATGGAAGCACATCCCCTTGAAACCGCCGTCTAAGCATCCATAGAGGCTCACACAATGGATCAAACACCATGCAAACATGGGTACCATGAGGACTCGGTAAATTAAAGGAATCGAGCAACGTGCTGACAAAGTTCCGGCCTACATGTCGTGGATTTGCGCGCGTAATGTTTTCAGTAATTCGAAATTCCCTTTCAGCGTCTTCCTTTGTTGCATAGTTATTTGCCTTAATTTTGACTGCAACGTAGCGTGCTGAACACCAGCGCCATCTACTATCATGTTAGTCTGAGTCTATCCCGAACGGCTTTAACGATACAGTAAAACATACTGATTCAAATCACGAGCTAACCATACTGTTGAACTGGTTCCCCAACCCAGTTTGGCAGTGATTTGGTACCTGTCGTTGAGAATATCATAGAGGCGGACAGGGTAATAGTGGTCTGGCTTATAACGTGGAGTGCACTCTTCTTCTATCAGTTCTGCAGCTGGCAAAGCTTGCACTGGCACACTTGACACTCTACATGGACTCTGTTTAATGAACCCACGGAGCGACAATCTCAGAGACCGCAAAGGTGCAGCCATCCTGCAATGTCGAATCCGTGCATCTGGAACAGGACGATGAGTGGTTGGGAAATTAAATAGGAATCTCGGGTTCAGCACGGACCACACGTAAGGGAACACTGGTCATGTGGGGCCCCGCTAACTATTACGGCCCTCTCCTCAGCTCCTAAAACAGTGAATCATGGCTAGTTACATGCAAAGACTCGTCTGTATTCCTACTCTACAGAATTCTCCGCTTCTTCCCCGGTGTTTTTATCAGGCCGACCGGGATTATTAAATTCTTCCTTGGAAAAAATAACCTCTCCATCGTGGTACCAGTGTCCCGAAGTCATGCGGCTCCCGCCGCGCGTGTAAATCTGCCCAGAGACGCGAGGCTTCGGATCTTTCTTGAATGTGTGCTCTCGACCACTGTGGTATGTGAGTATGATGTGGCAACCTTCTGACGAGAAATAGAAGGTTCTTTCTTACGCGATTTCTACCTTGTCAGCCTTTCCCCTAAGCTTTGGATTGACATTGATTGACTCCGTGATCATTGTATCGTACTTTTCCATCCTCGTGTCTTTTATCCCAGACTATCTGGAGCAAAGCTCAGGCGCTTGTTGAAAAGGAGCGTGACATTATTTGACGAGTATTCCCTGCTAGTAAACCCTCGTGAATGTGATCGCTGTGTGTAGAGCAAAGTGAGAAGAACGTATGAGCATTACTGTTGGAAATCTGGTCGATGTCTGCCTTTTCAAAAAGGAGGAAAAAAAAAAAAAAAAAAAAAGCAAACGGTCTCATTTAAAACGATCAAAAGCTACAACTGACGGTGATTGCCGGTTGCACAGCCCAAAAGGTGACAAGGCTGAAACAGACGGGATCTGCCAGCGCTTAATTCGACATGGTCGATTGTATCGTTTGGCCAATCATTCACCCCCTACCGCTCAAATCCACTCAAGGTCGTGCTCCGTAACTCACTAGCTAGCAAAAGAGCCACTGGTAGTGCAACAATGTTTGTCACGTCCTTGAAGTATTGGTGTGAAACAGATCAGGACATGGCTAGGGCGGGCTGAAAACTTCTCTGCTCGCACAGATAGCGCCAGCATTAAACAATTTGAGTCGTGTGTATTATCGCTAACCCAATACTCGATCACTCCCTCTCTCCACCTGTCATTCATACTTTCGCCATATGGCATATGCCTGGATGGGTATTGTCGCCTCAGTAGTCTCAAACACCTGAAAATCATGGATTTTCCAAGACTTCACGGGCAGTTAGTCGCTTGGCAGGGGACAAATTCATCAGCTGTCTGATAAGATCCCTGAATACCGGTTCCATATGGCCCTCCCACTGTGAAAATGGCTTGTATGGTATGTATTCTTCTGATCTTTCGTCCCACAGCATCCGCAGGACTTGGCAATTGACCTCGTCATTGCCAATATGTTTCAGCAGTCCATTGATGCCTTCCTTGTCGCCAAAGTATGAAACTTGACGCTGTAGACGTATCATAGCGGGCAATGCACCTTGAGATTCATAGAAGCGGAAATCGTCATCGATGCCAAAGATAACACGTGCCAACACCGCATAGAGACACTAAACATGTCAATATTGCTCGTCTAAGTTAACAGATGTACTTACTACAATCCCAAAAGCCAACCTGTTTGTTGGCTTGTTGAGTTCTCCCCTGAAGTGTGCTTCCGGACTGCGCCAGTTGTCGTTTCCAGCGAGCATACCTTTTATGCACCTACCTTCCGGCAGGTAAGCGGCATTCTCGAGATCGGTAAGTAGGACTCTCTTGACTACAGTCTCTTCTTCTCCTTTATCACGGCAATCGACCATGATATCGTCCGGCTTAAAATCTGGTTCAAATTAGCACACATGTCCAGTGGTATCCAGGAGTTAGATCCATTGCTTATTACCAAGGTGCACGACATGCTGCTCATGCAACTCAGCGATACCTAGCAGGCTAGCTTTCAGGATTTGCTTTCGAGATTGGGTCGATATTCCTCTCTTCACCAGGCTCAGGAAGTCGTCCGTCATGTACTTATAGACAAAAATTCGCTGGCCTGGTATACTGTCGCATGGAAGCCGTATGTGGCTGTTTTTCCACAGCCGCGGTCTTATATCGACTGTGAAGTTGTCGTAGATATCCCGAGGGATATCCTTCAAGATGAATTTGTCTTTCCCAGACCTAGGCATCATTAGCAAACCAGTCGCTAACGAGAAGTTTGGGTATCGGAGAGAGCAGACTTGGCCAGCCAGACGCGACCTACGTAAGGCTTTTCCTGGATCATACTTCCAAACTGGTACCGAGATCCCGTAGCCCCAACATAGTCAGTCGGTGCCTCCGCCATTCTTGCGATGGTCCTTCGAAACATGACATTTGAAATCTGTTGGCAAATCCTTCTGCACTATATGGCTTCAAGAAAGCCCAGCTACGTGCAACTGTTCGGACAGCACACAGGGATACGATGGTCAAATTGAGCAGATGAAAGGTAAGAGATCAAGGGGCTGGGCCTGCCTTGTGGTCTGATGACTAAACCCGATGTGGAAAGAAAGACAAGCAAAAATAGGTGTCTTCCAGCGGCAACCTCGGGAAACATGTCATATCTCTGACTATCGGTTCGGTAAGGAGATGGTCAGCCTATTATATGCTATTTTTTTACTGGTGAGGGAGGAGCGCCGTTGGAGGTGGGGGCTGTAGCCGCGGGTATTGCGGCGGCGGTGCTGGAAGATAAAAAGACCGTCTGGACAGTAAGTCATCGGAAGGGTGATAATTGGTGTTGTTATTCGTGGCCAGTTGTGATGGGGAGGGAGGGGGTAGTCAGGGAGGTGGAGGTGCAGGTGGGAGAGGGAGAGAAGTGGACATTTGGAAAGGGGGTTATGAAGTTGGGGATAATGTGGGAGCATTACAAGGTGAAGGAGGCTGACAAGGTGAGGAGGCTGAAGGGCCGTAGTAGGGATCGAAGTACCTTAGGAGTGGGATTATGCATTGCTTGATTGAATAGGGAGAACACGCGAACGAATGTCTTTGCAAGTATCGTATGTGTAACGAAGTGGACTGGGGTTCGAAAGATCAAAACTATTGAATCCACTTGTTGTCGCCATATCCATCAGCCTTCTTCCAATTTTGTCTCTGCTCTCTCGCTACTACCTGCCTCTTCACTACCACGAATCCACCCGATATCACCGACAACTCAGAATGATCACTCGGTGCCTTTCCACAGATGCCCACCTTGCAGCCAACCCTACGCGCGATCCGAAGAACCTGCGCGATGGGGGTCGTAGCCGCCTTGCCCTGCTCATTGAACAGCTCTGCTAACCCATCCGAGTTACAATAAACCCCAGAGTCAGCTGCGTGAGATCTTTCAACCCGATCGAGAACGCATCAAAGTGCGCCAGGAACTGCTCCGCCAGGACAATGTTTGACGAAGTCTCAAATATTGAATGAACCTGCAGTCCATGATCTGCCAACACCTGCAACACCTCCTCTGCTTCGCCCACCGTGCGACAAAACGGAGTCATGGCTACCACATCCGTGAACTTCATTTGCTCACGCAGCTGTGGATAGCCCTACACTCCAGCACAAACCCTTCATGAGCATGAGACTGTCATATCCTGCCCCGAGTGCAGCACGTTGGTGGCATCAGGAATGCCCACAATGACAGGGACACAAATTTCGTAACTGTCAATGGCAGCCTGGGACGTGTGGCTGTTGTGGTCGGTGATAACCGCCACAGCGCGCTTCATGGTCGGCACCCAGTCCGGTCGGTCGTGGCGGTGAGGAGAATGCAACCTCGTTGAACTTGTCCATTGGATGCACAGACTCCGTCAGACAGAGACGACCGAAGACAGCGGCATCACCTACGACCACCCCCGTGATTGAAAATACGGCCCTTGTGGCCAATGTTGTACGTCTTGAGAGCGGCGGTCGCGTCGCGACGCGAGTGCACGTTTTCCGGTCGGGCTTGAACGATGAATGAATCACTGGTGAGACTGCCTTTGGCCCCATTCCATATCCATGGGCAATTGTAATGGGTTTCAATGGTGCAGGCCCTTTCGAGCGAGTTGGGAAATCTTGGGACCACTGAGGACCAAGGTTGGGACATTTGACGCGGGAGTCTGTCTGTCGCCATAGATCACACGGTGGCTTTGTGGCCGCACTCTAAGTCGATTGTTAGAACGAAGTAGCCCTAGGACCGTCGACAAGCATCCAGGAGAGCGGTTTCACCCGTAACGCCGAGGTAGAATTCTGCTTTCCAGCAAAGCTAACATCCAGAAGATTTTCCTTTGTAGCGCTGGATCCGACTGCCATGCTGAGGTTCTTCACGCCTGCTCCGAGTGGCTGCCTTAGTAGCAGATAACCAGATACCTCGAAGAAAGATATCGCGTACTGCTTGTATAGTTGCCGCGCAATGTGCCTTGCCTGATTCCCAGACTGCACATAAGCTCAGCCAGGTGCTTGGAAGCTCATTGCTGTCAATGTAGTGCCGGTAGCTAATTTCGCCATAGGACAACAGCCTCCTCCGATCTGAGGGAGCTGCTCAACAGCTATGCCAGCCTAATGGCAATATGGCTGGAAACATAAGCTTGGTAGATATTGACGCACAGCTAGTGTGTCCATAAATAGCCTTGTCAGAGCAAAGCTAAGTACACTCCATCGTCCGAACTGGCAACAGTGATATCCGAAGCCACAACAACTGTTTAAGCTCAACATCTTGTCCCAGCATATACCTCATTCAGTGTGCAACACCCCTTTTGAAACTCAGCACACAATGTTCATTATCATAGTAGAATTTTAACTTACCATGCCAAGGCACACATCCATCACCGCCATCAAAGAAGCTGTGCGTGACATCTTGGAAACCCAAACCTACCACTCCCAACTCCCCGGCATCTTCATCTTCGCACACCCCTCACTCTCATCTCCCTGTTCACCCTCCTTCTTATCTCCATCTTCAACCGCCCCATCACCCCACCGTTCCCTCCAAATCGCCAACTCCTCCTTCCACAGATCGTTGACGCACGGATCACACGAACTCCCACAGCACTCGCCAAGGCCAGGCGGTGGAGGGGGGTCATTGTAATCGCGCTCTGCGGCACGGAGGAGTTGCTTTGCGCGGGTGTTGGGGAGACGGTTGCGACGTTTCTTGAAGGAGGGGACGTCTTGGGGGGTATAGAGGGGTGATGGGGGCATTTTCTTCTTGTCTTCTTACTCAGTAGGGTAGGATAGACTGCTATGTATATGATGTTGGTGATGGTATAGTGATTCAGGACTGTGCGTTAGTGTTATGGTCTACGATGCATGATTGTAGGTATACAGGGTATGGCAGTGAGGCCTGCCGGATGAAGATCGGGTAGGATCGGGATGGGATATATTCGTGTCGGGTATGGGTGTCGGGATACGCAGATATGCATGGGATGGACAGTTGATGGCATTCAATTCAGTTTCATTGATCAGGTATATACTGGTGGCACTTACTGAATCTATCATAAGCATCAGAATGACAACAGAAGAATTTTAAGAGAAGATAAAAGGAGATAACAAACATGCGGTATACCACACATAACCCAACAACCGACAGACAGGCAACTCATCCGAGATCACATGTCCATCAAATACCGACTGGTCACATGCACCACCTCATCCGCGTAATACCCGTACCTAGCATACCATACCCAAGGCAGTAATAAATTACCTAACTTACCGAGTCCTCTCCCTTCCGGATCGAAGGAGACGAGACGAAACGAAACGAATGGGTGAATCACATCCACAACCACATCCATCATCCCTCCGTATCCAGTCCATGATTCATCATCGAAACGGAATCATCCTATACCATTGCACCGTAGATAATTTCCCTACCCTCCTTGACACTCAATGGCTGGTAATTTCCACTCAATGGCTATGTGTCTGTGCTCTGCTCTCTGTCCTTCAGGTATCTATCTATCCATCTGTCTGTGTTTCTACCGATCCGATCGTCGCAGGGAAACCCCCGATACACATGATACGTAAAAAAGTGGTACCTATGTTTTTTTCTTGGCGCAGGGTTAGTTTCAACTTCCTTCCGTCGACTAGAATAGATAGATAGAACTGGGTTTGGGTTGCACGGCAGCTCTTCATGTCGGTTGGCTGTAGGTACTTCTTTTCTTACTTGGAACTATGAGTCGAGATTCATGCACATGCAGGGATTAGAGCTGCACGACAAAATTTTGGATGAAATTTTTTTTTTTTTGTTTTCTTACTTTCACAGCCCCTGAAGTAGACATTGATGTGGTGAGTCAATTGCATGGAAGGTGTCTGGCAAAAGTTCTCACTGCTACCATTGAACACATATATTTTGCCCTTGGGTCGCTGAGGCGGTGGTGGTGGTAGGGTGGGTGACGTTTACATTTGGGATCGTCAGTCTAGATCCACCGGGTGAGAGTGAAGGGGGCGCCATGGGCCACTATGGGTTTGGTTGATGGCTGATTTTTACCAACAATTATTGAATATTAACTGGAGGGTGAGAGAGACATATTCTAGACGTTCTCTAGGTTAGAAAATTAGATCAATTGGCCTCTTGTGGTGTAATGGAGAGTTAGTAGGAGGGCTTATAAGGCGGTAATCGCCCATTGTTGGGAGGTAGTGGCCGGGAGGGAAGAGCTGCCCCCGGAGATTCCGGGACAACCGTTTCGTTGTCGACAGCTGGCATCAAGCTCGTACCTGTCTGGCTGACAACCACACCTTCCGCCTTCAATAGACAAGGTCTTTTGTCGAGCTGTTCAGTCTGACCGACAAGCTTGAAAGCGTGATCATATGATAATTGGTTCAGTGATCTGACCTGACCAGCTAAGCTGGACCGAGCACTGTTGTTACCCCAGGTTTTTCCATTCATGGGTCAGTCCGAACTGGCAAGAATTGAAAACAGCAGAGAATCATCAATCGATGTGGATATAGAGTCCCAATCCTACAATCAAATGTAGCTGGCAAATCCGTGGAGTTTAGTGGCCATTTTAAATCTCTATATGTACAGTGTATTTGATGGTTGTAGATGATGACGGGAAAAGTAGTACATGATATATAAAAAGACCACCACAATAGAATTACCTCCTATCACAGCCAAGACAATCTCAAAACAAAAGATTTTGCTGATATTCCCTCCAATATCCCCTATTTTCTCTCCAATATAGATGAAGGTTTGTAATCGAAGATTGGGAGTGGATCATAAAATCTCCGCAGATGCCGTGACTGCAATTATCCCTCGGTCATAATTTAAACGTACTTGCACATCATGGCAACCATCAGGTCGAACAGACCAATGGCCTCGACGAAGGCGAAACCAAGAATGGCGTAGGAGAAGAGCTGACCACGGAGGGCAGGGTTGCGGGAGACGGAGAGGAGGAGGGCACCGAAGACGAGACCGATACCGATACCGGCACCACCGAGACCGATGGCAGCGGAACCCATACCCAGGTTCTGGGAGACCTGGACCATGGCGTCGGCGATTTCAGAGGAGTACTGGCGGCGGGCCTGCTGGGCAGCGAAAGCCTGGCGAGCGTTGGCCTGGATAAGGCCGGAGGGAGACTGACGCTTGACGGTCTGGAAGGGGGTCATGGGGACGGCCTTGCGCTGGGTGGTGAAGGTACGCTTGGGGGCAAGCTGGAGGCGAGCGGCAGGGCGAGCGACCTTGGTGGAAGCAGCCATGGTGGAGGCCAGGCGCTGGGCGAAGACACGGGAGGAGGCCATTGTGATGGTTTGTGGTGGTTCTGAGAGAGGAGTTTCTCTAGAAAATGATGGTATTGGGAAGGGAAAGAAGGAAGGAGAACTTTTCTGGAGGAAAAAGCTGGAGGAAAGTGACAACAGAAGGCCCCCCGGGACATAAATACTCTCCCGCTAAATTTTCGCGGTTTTTTGCCCTTTTCCCACCCAGCCCCCCCGTCGGGTGTTAGTGCGCTTTGTTGGGACCAGAAAAAAAAGCCCTACCTTACTTTTTTTGTTTGCTGGTGTTTTTGGCACTGTCTGTTTGTATTGTATTGTTCCTGTTTTTCCTGTTTATGTCTTGTCTTTTGGTATCAATCCGTTATCCCTAGTTGATCCTTTCGCTCTTTTTCCCTTACACCGTGTTTGGCAGCCTCGTTTTTGGCTCATTATCCTTCTTCCTTCCCCCGGGAAAAGCAGTGGACATTCCACCGCACATACACACTTACCACAACTTACTTACACATCCTGTGTACGCATACACACATACACACCCTTCGGGATCATTCGGGATGGTGGTTACCAGGGGAGCTACAGCTGGTACAGCCAATGGTTTCAGGGTCTTAACCTGGCCGTGCTGGTCCGCGATGGAGCAATGGCCTACTGACTCTCCCTCTCACCTTCCTTCCCCTTCAGATAACCAACCCAATTGCTGCATCTGATGGAGTATTCCGTAGTCATGTGTGTATTTTACACTTGTACGGACCGATCCCTTCCGTTTGATTCCTTTCTTGTCCTCGTGTCGTCACAAAAGGGAAGGGAAAAAAACATTCCTGTCTTGTCTCTACGGGGCTCCTCCCTTCATTCTTTCCTTACATATAAATTGTCCCCTTCTCCCTTCCCCTTCTGACACCCACCCAACCCAGCAACAGACCGGGAAAGACAAGACAAGACACGAGAAACAAGCCCAAAGAGACCAGCTACGGTATGCAAAATTTTCACAGCGAAACGGGAGACCGCAAAGAAGGAAAAAAAAAAAAACCAGACGTGCGGGTGGGTCCCTGCATCCAAATGGGTCCGATAGAGTGGCACACCCCCACTTAGCGGTGGCCGGACAACCAATGGGAAGTAGCCAAGACCCAGCTAATATGATGGCCAGCTTCTCGGTCGCAATCAAACCGGGCCGAATCGGGCATGCGGCTCCACCAGCACCGGAGTTTCTGAGCAAAAAAATTCCCACTTCTGAGACGCAAGCAGGTTTGCGCCGCGTCGGCTGGAAGGAGGGAAGCTTCCCCAATTGTCCTGTGTCGTGTTGCTGCCGTTGCTCCTTGTCTGTTCTCCCCTCGGGAAATGCCTCACCGACTCATCGTATTGGGTTATCTGCCGTTTTGGGACAACCCGGCTCCGTACGGAGCGCCTTTCGCCGGGGAAACGCGCGACGATCCGTAGCTCCCTGAGCAGAGAAATGTTAGTCCACACAGGCTTCTGGCGCTATGGCGCAAAAATAAAAATAAAAAAATAAAAATAAAAAAATAACCACTTCCCCCAATGCCTCAGCACGCTTGACTCCGAGGGTGGTGCACGGGTTATATAGCTTTTTGGATACATCAGAGAAATTGATCCCTCTCGGGGGAATAAGGAGCAAATCTCAGGGGGAGTGGATGACTGGCGCAAGCTGAATAGGGGAGAAAAGTGGGCGCGCGCGCGCGGCGCAAGCCAACCCAATCCCATCGACATCATTCCGTGGCCTCTCGAAAACCGGACGAAAGCATATCCCACACACACACACAAACACAGTCAGCCCGCTAGTGGCTGGCTTTGCTCGCGGTTTTACCCTGCTGTGTGCTTGTTATCGTGGCCACCACACCCCTATCCACAGAAGGAAGAATCCCTTGGAAGGAAAACCCATTGTGTAATTTTTACCTGCTTTGCTCACCAGCCCGTTTTTTCTTTCCCATCTTCCCAAGAAGACATCCGTCTGCTACTTATACCTGGATCAGGGTGAGGATTCCGGGGCAAATTTCTTCTACGCTCTCCCTAATTTTTTTTGTCCTAATTTTTATTTTTTATTTTTTGTGGCCCTCCCCCCCAATTTCTACACAGTCCCTATCTATTTCCGAGGTCGGTCTCACTAAACTCGATTTAACCCGGTGATCGAGATATGATCTCAGCCGCCCTGCAGTATTACGTAACCCGGCCAGCTTCCCGACTGAACCGCTGCCGCCGTCGCCGCAAACTGGCCTTGCCTTGCCTTGCCTTGCCTGGGGCTCTCTCACTTGTTCTGGCTCAATTTAAGCATGCAGCTGGTGCAAGGATGCCACGGGGCTCGAGCTGTTCGCGAACTGTTCTTCGGCTAGCAGGGGGGTGAGTGGTTGTTGTTGAATCCCAGTATTCTCAACAATTTAAACTGTCAAGTAGAGTTGTAATGTGCAGCAATAACTTCTCGCTGATTAGTAGTATCCACGGGAATACAAAAATGCATAATTTAAGTATCGTTCTGGTGATACCGACAGACTCGGAGGATAAAGGGTGATGCGGATGGGGGATGGGATCGATCGATGGATGGCTGCAGCGACACGGAGCCCGCCGTGTATCGGACCTGTATGGATGGTATTATTACGGTATTGTGAATACGTGACTGAGATACGGTCTCAAGTGCCTTAAGGTATCAAGGCACGAGTTCTGTCGGGTCAGCGGCAGGTCCCGGACCTCGGGATTTCTGTTGGTTTTAGGGGGAATGACGGACAACTCAAAGCAGGTATGGCGGCTACCTTACTATCTACGTATTGGGCTGGTGGCCGTGGCCGGCCATCATCATGCCGGTTGTTTCCTTGGTTTGGGCACGTAGGAGTGATTTACATTGTAGCTTGTGGTGTGGAAGATAAGCTGGGATTCCTAACGAATCGGAGCGTAGGGGAGTATCTCGGCGAGGTTGTGGGTGTGGAATGTTGATTGCTAGCCACGGCGAGGGTGGTATGTGGATAATTATATATTGTGGTATGGAGGGTGGCTTCGGTTTGGTATGTTGAGGGTCCACAGGGAGAATGGGGAAGATATATCCGGGGTTAGTGTTTGTTTAACTTGTGGTTGAGGATTCTACTGTCGAGGCGATATATAGAACTTCAAATCGGGTGAAGAAGTTCACTTCAGTAGTACTCCAAACTACATAGTACGTACTAAGTATACATCGCACTTATAGAGTGTGTACACTCATTACGCCTGAGGTAGGTGCTGAAATTGGATAAACTTGGCAGTAACCTACACACGATCTTGATCTACTATGAAACATGATTCAATCTTGTGGCCATCTTGGCATGGTTCGATTAATACCATTGTAGCGGAGTATTCAGCTGGTAGACACCTTCATCTCTGCCTTATTTGGAGGACATTGCTGCATCATGTGACCTCAATGATCTTCATCAATCCTTCCTTTTCTAGATAATATCGATAGGGGTCCGCTGTTTAACTGGACGATGATAAGTAAAGTAGGTCCCTTGCTTCATTGCAAATGCTCCTAATTGAAATACTCATCCCGACGAAACCTTGAGAATAGTATTGTTCATTTCATCATGTCTCAACCATATCTTGCCGTATTGAAAATTGAGATAAGTATATTACGGAACTTTGAGTCAAATATACGTTGTGAAGACTTACGTAGCTTGACCGAAATTTGACCGATCCATAGAAGAAGAGTTTGTCCTGTATGCTAGGTGGATGTATACCACGTATCTAGTACCAACCTGCAGCCATGAACCCATCAAGAAGTGTTGGATACCCTTTCTCCTACCGACTTTAAGATGTTCCGTGGTTTCATCACTTACCGAGAGCTGCTCCAGAACTTTGTAGACTGTCTATTTGTTCTGACATGTCTACTAAGGAAAGACACGTGTGTCTGTTTAGAACTAGGAGATCTCTCACACTGACATGTCTATTCTGAAGTAACGATCGTATCTTCCGCACCTCCAGAAAGAACAAGATTCCAGTTAAAGCAAAGCTTATGCTATGAGTGAAGAAAACATAAGATACCGCTGTTCTACCATACTGCAGGCCAACTTCCCAGTATTGTACCAGTCAGTTTGCCATCAGAAGATAGGCTCATTTCGCAACAGGCACAGGAAAGTCCCTTCCCCATTTCTCAAACGGCGCCTCGATAGAATATCGCAAAACGAGCTCAATCTCCTCATCCGGCTCAAGTGTCACTTCCCATCTAACCTCTCCATCACGGCCCAGTTCCGCAGTCTTCGTTCCCGGCTTTCCCGGCTCCGTGAGATCCACCTTATCACCCGGAAACCCCAAGGTCTCTGGCGTCAGAGTCTCAACATCAAAATGATCATCCACATTAAATGGCACCTGATCCAATACCAAGACGTTGACTACATGGTCTCTTGTATTCTTGATCTTGCATGATGCTTTGAAGTATGTGATAGTTAGTTCCAAGAATTCGTCGATTTTACTAAGTGTTATCCCAGGTTCCTTATGCGCCACCTTGACGAATCTGTCCACCCCAAGATTGAGTTCAAAGGATTCGTTGCGCACGCAGCTTGGAACATTGGTCTTGCCGAAACAAGTGTGGTCAACGGTTAAGTTCACTTCACCTGATCGTATATTCACAGGCGAAGTATTCTGTATCTTGGCACGAAGAAACGCTGCGGCATGCCTTTTGGGCACTAGCACATGGGTGAATGAAGCTTGGAGGTCCAGCTCAGCTATTTCATAGCGGCGGGGCGCAGATGAGGACTTGATGACACGCCGGCCAGGTAGTTCATACGATACACTCGGGCCATGGCCCTGGCTGATCGACTCGGGCACCTTGCTATCAGGCGGATAAAAGTCATGGTACATCGAGGGTGCCAGGCCTTCCTCTAGGTTATCGGCTGTAAATGTCAAAGAAAAACCTTCCAACTCAGGAAAGCCAGGGGAGGGGAATGTCGGTTCTGATATCCCCAGTGTTGGCATAGAAGGGGGCACAGACGACCCGGATTTAGTCAGTATGACTGCCAGATCCCATGGTGTCAATGATGGGATGGCTTGCCCCGGAGGCGACGTGTGCGCTTGCGGAGCCGACAGCGTTACCTGGGCATCTCGCCAGGTTTTGGAAGTCATGTTGGTGAACAGGGCACAGAGCCTGATCTTGGCCGTTGAGAAGAGTGTATTGATGTTGAGGTCGTGAAGCTTGAGTTCTGACTTCGCCGAAACCGCATAGATCAATTGCAACAGCACTTCATTGCTCTGAACCTTTTTTCCCGCTTGGTTCTGCTCATCACCAGTTAGAGTGCCAGAGCTCAACGCAGACACAGGAGCAGTCATCTGCCCTTCCAGATGCACAACTGCCTGGCAGAAATGGTCTGAGACCGACTTATCCGCAGCAGGTTTCTGAATCCATTCTTCCAACAAACTCGGATCCTTCCCTCCATAGAGCGCTGGTCCGTACTCCCCCCGATGAGGATCTTGCGCACTAGCTCCACCATAACCCATAGGCTGCCTCTCTCGATTTCGAGAATCGTTCCCAGGGTAGGCTTTAAAGATGCCGCATCCGGCGTATAGTCCTTCAGAGGGGTGGAAGATGGTGTCTTTTCTATTTTCCAGGTCTCTGATTGGGTCAAAGACTTTTCTGTCAGAGGACGGTTTGCAAGTGGACGAGTATCGGAGAACGTTTGCATGTTGGATGTCTAATACTTTGGCAGGGCCGAGGCTTTCAACACGGATGGAATCGGGATCGACCTGGTGGTCGATCTTGTTGATGGTGATCGCGAAAGCACCGGGCTGTTAGCGGCTGTGAGATAATAATCTTTAGATATGATATGCGGTTGCTAGGGGATCTGTACCTGGACACGGACAGGAAACTCGCGCGTGATGGTCGCTAGAGTAGGATGAAAGGCAACGGACTTTGTGGGAAGGGCCTCGACTGAAAATTCTTGGTGAGCAGAACCTTCCATGTTGATTAATTGCAAGATAGATAGATAAATGAAGTTCGGGGATGAGGATGGGGGTGGGAATAGAACTAAAGAGAAAGCAGCCGACGCTTCGAACGAGGGCTGTATGATCTGACCAAGATATATGTCTTTATATCCTGCATGTAATCACCGCCACGGGGAGGAATATCCCTTTGTAGTTCTGATAGTATTGCTTTTCACTTGATAAGCCTTAATCTCGAAACGCCACAAGGTGAGTTGGGGTGAATGTCGGATTATAGTCCTCACCATATGTTCACGACCTAATATTGTGGAAATAACCTGGTAGATATATGGTTCTCAGAGTAGACTTCCAAGTTTGGTAATAGGCAGGTCTCTCGTGAAGTTGCATCGTGATTATGGATGGGATCTTTCCGTGTTATACGGTACCCCGTCCAGCAATACCTGGATAATCACTGAGTAATCACTGAATATCCCTTGTCATTAACAGATAACGCCAGTATAGCGCACTGTCGCCTTCACTTGCTCTGTTACGTGGCAGGGGTACAGCTGAATATCTGTCTAGTACTGATAGGATGGAAATCGTTTGGCGCCATCCTTTATCATTAAGGTGACTGCTGTGTGATCTATACTAGCAATGCATAGTTGAGTTATGGAGTCACTTGATGCAAGGTAATGGCATCCCGAGACTAGAATACTTTCACCACATCACTGCAATGAAGCAGAAGATCACAAAACCAAGAAAATAGCAGCTAGACTACGTTGACTGAAAGAACAACCGAGCAGAAATTAGAGGATAATTCCAATCTGTATTAAACTTCACAAGAACCCCATCAGCGAATTATAGACGTATAGTACTCAACATCCTGGGCTATTCACAAGGAGAGACATTGAAACTATCAACAGGTTCAAGGAAGCCGCAAAACAACAACACAGCAACAACAGCAAATTAATCACACAAGATTATGACCCGGTGCGCCCCGAAGCCACCAGCAACTGTATGTACAGCGCGGAACCTGGATTCGACTCGAGCTGGAGATCACAACCATTAGTTTGGAGCAATTCACATTAGGAGATGAGGCGCATACATACCAGTCAATGCTTACTGCTGAGACTTGCCCTGCTCCTTCTCCTTCTCCTCACCACCCTCCTTGCCCCAGTTCTTGCCCGTCTTGTGATCGGTAGTCTCGCCGAAGCTCTTGCTGAAGGATGCGGACTCGTTGTCCTGGACGCTCTTGTAGTCTTCCTCACCAGCGGAACCGCCCTCCTTGCCCCACTTCTTGCCAGCCTCCTTGGAGTACTCGTTGGACTTGACAGGGACAGGCTGGGGCTTGGGCTGAGGAGCGGGCTTGTGCCAGTGCTCCTGGGGCTCCTTAACAGCGACGGGGACTTCGACTGCCTCGACGGCAACGGCTTTGGGCTTCTCTCCCCAGCCACCACCACGCCTGTGGATGTCCCCGCTACCATGGACATTGTCGTTGCCTGATAAACATTAGTATTGGATAAATTGGGAAAACAGGAATAGATGGACGCTGTCACATACCAACAGCAGGAGCGGCGATGGTGAGGCCAGCAAGGGCAACGAGGGAGAGAACAGCGGAGGCCTTCATTTTTGAGTAGTTGGTTGTTTGAAGCGTGAGCTTGTTGGTTGAAGGTTTGTTTGTGAAGTGAGGAGCTGTGAGGAGAGAAGCTTGAATGATGCTGATGATGAGAAGACGTCGAGTTGGGGAGGATTCGAGGCCCTCTTTATACCTTTTCGCGAGGCCCTTCAAGTCTCTGGATACGTACCTAGAATAGCGACATGGCATATCCAGCCTGTCACCGAATATCACAGACACTGACACATCCACAACTCCGAACAATAGTTGTCGCCATATATGCGAATTAGTGTCAATAATTGGATTGCATGCGCCACGGCTGCAGGGTCCCGAACGGTCAACCCCGGATTCTGTCCGTTAGATCGGATATGTACTGTGTGGGGTTGATATGTCATTTCGGCCGGGTGTTTGGCTGCCTTTATTGGCAGAAGTGTTAGTATTTCTGGTTGGGATTCCATATTTAGGTTTACCGATCGAGATTCCGAAGCAAGGGATGAGACTGTGGCTCTCGCCGCCTTCTAACCAAACACCAGTTCGCGCAATCATGAAGGGTATAGATTTTGTGGCTGAAACTGTGTCGTTTCTCCTGACGATCAATGACTCTGGCTCGGGAATAGAAAACTATAGAAATTTGTCACGTCAATATTTGCCACTATGACATGATTGTGAAGCAGAAGGAAGAGCTCTCAATGTGGTATATGCGCGTAGTGAGTAACATATCGTATTTTCGGTAGAGGCAGCAAATAGTTCCCCGCAATATGTGCAAACTGCATTACAAGGAAAAGCATTTTCGTTGACCGAGTCTTGCTGAACAGAGATGCCCGACCTGATCTCTCAACCTTCACTTAACCAAGTAGGAATATAGAGAAACCCTTCTGCATGAGGCAAGTTCTACCAATTATTACGTCAAAGCCCGGAGGCGACTATGCAAGTGATCTCCAATGTTTACGTTTCGGAAATGGTTGCCTGCAGATAGTGACCTGTAATACTACTTATGTGCTGAATGTGGCTAGCACTGTGTGACATACCAATGTAGTCCAGCAGAGTTGATCCAAAGAATGTAATGCACTTTATTGGAATAATTCGACTAAAGGCAACAATAATTGCAAATGTTCGAATCGTGTAAGTTGTCGGAATAACTAGCCACTTCACTCGATAGGACATGGTCCCGATATAGGTATTAAAACCACATGAAGATAGACCGGATATTTATGTAGAACCGATTGCAGGGGAATATTGTCAACATTTGTTGTATAGGAAATCGGAAAATTTCAATATACTATCAATCTTCAATACAACGAACAGGTGACAATGGCGCAGCACAGGGGACAAACAACAAACATTGCTTGGATGAAATGCAAATCGAACAAAAGATAAAAACATTAAATATCACTATCAATTATAATATATTTAACCGACCCGAGAGTAAGCCCATGATCTCTATGCTCCGAAATGTTACCCATATTCCCAGTATCCTAGTTCCCGATTCCCTTCCGATAGGCGATCCCGCAAGTTTTGCTCGTTAAGGCCGTCAGAGTAAATTCGAACTTTTGCTTCTGTTACCAAGGCATTAGTATAGATCACTATAGCGAAAGTAGTCTGCATATACATACCAAGAATGGCTGCTGAGACATTACTGCTGCTTCGTAGTCTGACTTTCGTAGGACTCATGAGTGTCGTAAGAAACAGATTCATGCTGGTTGACCGGGACGTGATTCACGGGGTGTGCAGGTGGCTTGGGAGCCTCGGGCTTGTGAACTTTTGGCTGGTGGACTTCAGGTTTGTGAACTTCGGGCTTGAAGTCTACAGACTGGTGGATCACAGGCTTGGAGCTCTCAGACTGATAGCCCTTAGACTTGATATCATCCGTCTTGTATTCCTCGGACTGGTAGGCCTCAGACTTGTAGTCCTCCTTGGGAGCCTTGGGCTCTTGGTAGTCATGCTCGGGGACGTGAATCGTCGGGAATTCAGGCTCAGAATACTCAGGCGCGACGGGCTCTGAGGGAGAAGAGCCAGATCCTCGCGGGTAAAAGACCTTGGAGCGTCCAATCTTGTGATTATTGTCACTGAGCTGGTATTTTTGCTCTTCAGCGCTGAGGCGATTGTTTTGGTTTTGGTCTCGGTTGTTCTGGTTCTGGTTGTTATTGTTGTTGTTCTGAGGCTGGTTCTGCCCCTGAGGGTTGGCGTCTAGAAAATGTCAGTTTTTGCATAGCATGGTCAAGCTTGTAAAGACATACAACTCGTAGGTGCCGCGGCGACCATAGTGGCGGCGAGAATGCAGAGAATGGCGGAAAGCTTCATGATGGCGGCGAGGGAGGGAATTGTCTGCGCTGCTTGGTCTTGAGCTGTTTGATGATGTTTTCTTGCAGTAGTGGTAGCAGAAAGGCTGGGGACACTGGTCCTTTTATTGCTCGCCGAGTCACTGCTGAGTGATGGTGGTTAGTCTAGCTATGATAGTGACACCTGAGATATGAGGAATAATCGACAAAGACAGTGTTCAATGTGTACTCAATTATTCATATCCTGTACTACTTTTGCCCACGATTTGTGAAACGTCAGAGTGAGATCTATGCTATGTTGGGGTAACGGCAGCTGTCAATTGACAGCTCGTCAAATGATCAACCGCTATTGGGCGTTATGATCTCATTTGGGACAGCAACTACCTATTATGGCTCTGACTTCAATAGTGTTCCTTCCAGAACGATTATTTATATAGACCGCTTCTCATCATCTCCCTTCTTCGTCCATCACTACTTCGTATCATCGATCCCGTTCCCCTGTCACACTGATAAGTCTATCCCTATTCAATTCACCACCACACTAACCACCAAAATAGTATACCGAAGACCAACAGAACACCACACATTCAATCCAGCCGCAACTCCTACCGCAAAGCTTTTCTCAAAAAGTCTGCCTCGTACATACCATCTCCCCCTTGAGGCAACCGATACGGATATCTCGGCTCCGTCTTCCACCTCACATACCCGAGTCTTTCATACCACAGCACCGCCGGAAACTCCGGTACCGCGTTCACTGATTCAAGGAATGCTCGTTTCTCCTCATTTTCAATGTAATCTTTGCTCAATGCATTGACAGTAACAGTCTGACATCGCGGGTCGTTCACCGCCATTTCCTCCACCAACTGCATTGCTCGACGACCAACACCACCAGCACGGTACTCTGGCAAAATAAAGAATGATTGAATAGTCAAGACAGAGTGATCGGCCTGCGCAAGTCCCGGATCAGGCGGGGATGCGTATGCATCGAGCGAGATGTGACCCGCACGAATGGGTTCGTCACCACTCTTGCCAGGAAGGATGATCCAGAAGAATGTTTTCAAGTCTGCGTCTTGTTTCTCACGCCAGGCGAGGATGCTCTCGTCGCTGTAGTCCCAGCCGCAAATGTGGCGTTGGTGTTGGAGGGTGGCATATTCCGAGGGGTTGTAGAGGTTGATTGGGGATAATGTGCAGATCATTATGTATGCTTTTGCACCAATGTTAAGTACGTATAAGGTGAAATGATGGTAGTAGCATGGGCATGTAACGGCTTTTGTATCGAAGGGTCTTTTATAGGGTGTTGTACTTGTGAGTCACGCTAGTCTACCCGATAGTTCGGGTGCATCTGATTGGAAGATGAGGTGATATTCGGCCGGCTATGCGGGGAACCGAAGACCACGAGGTTCAATCCCTCGAGAAGCGTCAGAATAAGCTGACGATGGTATCACATGCTCCTAAGATGGAGGCTGATGTTGCATTTTACCGTCCTACGTGATGCAAGTCTGTGGCTTCTTGGCCGACCAACATAGGGGATTTACAAGAACTCTAACAGAGAGCAGATCTCATGAGCAACAATCTTCTGAAGAATCTCTACTTACGGAACATAGAAAATGGAGAGCGTCAATTGTTCGAAAAGGTGCCAGGATAGGCCTTGTGGCAGCGCAGGAACGACATGGCTGAGTGCCACGGACACTAGCGACCGTCTGGAGAACATGCATGCGCCAGCAGCTCTGCCCAACCTGCAAATGGCTGGTTTGAAACCCAGTGGAGAACTGTCACCAGGAGGGCGTCCAGTTAGCGTGGTGCCCTCCTGTAAGTAATCCTTGCCCTGACGCCCGCCAGCCATGACACTGACGAGGAGCGAAGAGCATGAAAATACAGGAAAAAATATCTCTTAACCATCGTTCGAAGATAATATAATCTCATGCTAACGAATCTCACCACAACTCAAATACGCTAAAACCTGATCAAACCTTCGACTTCAATCCATTTTCCCCAATTGCCTCCCTCATCACCCCCTCCGGGGCATCCAACCCCGTCCACAACCGATATTGCTCAAAGCCCTGCCTCAACAACACCTCCAATCCATCGCGGACCACCAACCCACGCCTCTCCGCAACCTTCATCAAGGGAGTAACTTTCGGCTTATACGCCATCTCCACACACAACCCCGTCTTCGATCCCTGAAACAGCCCTTCAAAGTCCTCCTCATTTTTAACATCCCCAGGAATAGTCCCAATGACCACATCCACAGGTCCAACGCCATCCACATCCCCAACAGCCCTCATATCAATCCTATTCCCAGTACCCTTGAGAGTATCAAAGTCCTCAACAATATCCTCTGCCTTCCCGACAGTCCGATTCCAAATAATAATCGTCGAGAACTCAGCCTGTAAGAGCGCATACACGGCTGCTCTTGCGGCACCCCCTGCCCCAATGACGAGGCCTACTCTGCCGGTCCCTTTACCGGAATGTACGCCTTGCTGAGATAAGTAGTCGGCGATGAGGGTGTAGAGGCCGGACCAATCTGTGTTGTCGCCTTTTACTTGAACTGCTCCGTTCCCGTTCGGGGATCGGGTAGTAAGTAGGGTGTTGATGGCTCCAATGGCACGCGCTGAACTGCTCACTTCAGTGCAGTGTTCGAAGGCGGTGAGTTTATGGGGCATGGTGATGCTGGCACCGCCAAAGGAGGGTGAGGTGATGAGCTGAGATACTTCTGATAAGGAAGCGCATTCTGCGATGGTGTAGGTGTATGGGAGGTGGTGGTGGGTGAAGGCGGCGTTGTGTATTGTCGGGGATAAGGAGGCGCGGATGTTGGGGCCGCCGAAGATGTGGAAGACAAGAGGCTGCATCATTTTCAGTGTATGGACGAGACAAATTTAGATACGAATAATGGGACTGAACTTGATTACGGTACCGTATGTGGTTTCGATGGTTGATATAGGGCTCGGTGGTGGAGTGGTGGTGGAGTGTCGGGTATGATCATAGCCTAGGGTATGTGTTTATCATCGGGAGGGAGCCGAAGTATGGGGTTGTTGGATGGGTGTATGTTTATCCTGGAGAAGAAGCTAGTGGAAATTGACACGGCTACGGATTCATAGGATGTCTATATGTGGGTTTGAATTCTACTCTGAGATGGCATTGCTCTTAAGAGGATTGTTGGGCATCTCGCCTTCCTACTCCAGTACAGTGTATATAACTCTTAACCTACGTGATAGTCCTTAAACGTAATGAACAAGTAATATCTATTCAAGACAACACATACACCAGCATACATACTACCAGTAATCTACATCAAGCCCACTCCACATTTTCCCCCTCAACCCACTCCTTCGCCTGCCAATACAACAAATCATGCTTCTCACCATTAACACTCCCCGTTGCCTTCTCCCTCCTATGTCCCGGCAAATCCCTAAGAACCTTAATTCCCATCGTCTCCTCCTGCAAATACGCCAAGTGGCGATACCCCACCGGATACTCCTTCAACCGCTCATGATCAATCACGGGCACGCGATCCGGCGTCACAAGCACCAATTTGTCCTTCTCATACCAATGCCTCACGAACTTCGCCCTCCACTGACCCTTCAACTCCGCATACTCAGAACCAACCTTCTCCCAAAAGAAAATAAACCGACAATCACTCTCCGCATCCACCTCACACGTCCCCCCACTTACACATTCCACCTCACTGAACCGCTGCGTAATAGTGGCTTTCATCTTGGTAACAGCGCGTGTCCCTTCAGGGTTGATATCTGTAGTGCTGCCGTGCACGCGATGCATGATGAATGCGCCCTTGTCCATCCCCGCCTGCGAGGCTGTGATGAATGCATCGTGATGCGTGAGGCCCGTCCACGTCGTGTACACGTGCGCTTCTGGGTGGAAGATTGACCGGAAGTTCTCCCATTCGCAGGCGTCGCGGTAGCACGGCCAGCCTTCGGCGAGTTCGCGTAGGAGGTACCGCTCTATTGCCAGGTGTTGGGGGCCGTTGTTCCGGATGGCGTGCTGGGGGCGGGAGTTGGGGGGAAGGGTGTGGAGGTCGGGCATTTTGATGATGAGTGATTTGTTTTAGTTTGGGTGTTCAGAGCTTATTAGGTGTGTGAGAGAGAGATAGAAAGGGGATGGTGGTTGTCTAGATGTAGACGGTGGGGATTAGTTCACTTTATACTAGTAGGGCATGCATACCCCGCGGGGAAGAGCCGGGGAGAAGATGGGCTCGGCAAAAAGATATCCGTTCCGGGTAGGATCATAGCCGATGGACATTCTGACTGTTATATTATCTGCAGCCAGTCGTATACTCTACAGACAAGTTTTTAGGAAATCCAAATCAAAACAAGATATCACGGAAAGTACCATGTCCGCCACCACCACCTCCGACCCCCGGCGCTACGCCTACCTCGTCGGCATCGGGGTAACCCACTCCATCGCGCCCCCGATGCACAACTACTCCTTCAACAGCATGGGCTACCCATGGACCTTCATCGCGCAAGAGTGCCCGACCGTCGAAGACGCCATGACACTCTTCCGTCAGCCCACCTTCGCCGGCGGGGTGGTAACCATGCCCTACAAGCGCACCATCATGGAGCATCTCGACGGGTTAGACGAGTACGCTGTGCGCCTCCAAGCATGCAATAATGTCTATCGCGCAAAAGATGGCTCGCTACGTGGAACGAATACAGACTGGCGTGGGATCAAGGGGTGCTTGCTATCAGCTGATCCCGAGGAGAAAGGGAGGGGTAAGGCCGCGGTTATTGTGGGTGCTGGGGGAGCGTGTCGCGCGGCGGTGTATGCGCTGTATGCGGAATTGGGATGTACGCCTATTTATGTGGTGAATCGGGATGAGGAAGAGATTAGGGTGTTGAGGGAGGATACGGAGAAGGAGTATGGGGAGGGGTTGAAGATGGTTCATGTTGAGAGGGTGGAGCAGGTTGCGGGTTTGTTGGAGGATGCGGTGCCGGGGTATGTCGTTGGGACGGTTCCTGATGCGGAGCCGGTGACAGCGGAGGAAAAGGAAGTACATCGCATTATGGAGGCGTTTTTGGATGCTCCTACTAAGGGTGTGTTGTTGGATATGTGCTTCAAGCCGAGACAGACGAGGTTTCTGAAGATGGCGCGACAGCGTGGGTGGGCTACGGTGGAGGGGACGGAGGTGATTGGACATCAGATGCCAGAGCAGTATCGGCTCTGGTGCGGGGAAGAAGAGAGACAGAAGTTGTCGCTGGATGGAGCGTGGTCTGTGCTGCGGAAGGCTGCAGAGGAGAGTCCGGGTATTAACTTCTAGAGGATAAGAGTAGAGTTGGTGGATTGCAGGGACAGGGATCGGATGAGGGCATTGCCGATGACCTCAGTGTGGGCCGGGCCTGACGTATGATAGAAAGCATATAAATGCACACCCAAGGTTCATGCTACGCTTTGAACATCACATACATTGTATTGTCAGTTCTTTCTATTCATCATGCCCTGCAAACCTGCCATCGCTTCCATGTCCGTGGGCCGTGCCTGGGTCCATTCTCTCCCCGAGAAGCTCTCCCAGATCGCCCAGGCCGGCTTCCAAGGAGTGGAGATTTTCTACGAAGATCTGGAATACCTTGCCAAAGAAAAGGGAGAACCGACAGAAGAGAATCTCCTAGCTGCCGCCCGAGAAACCAAGGGCATTTGTAACCATCACGGCCTGGAAGTGATTGGCTTACAGCCGTTCATGTTTTATGAGGGCCTGCTGGATCGAGATATCCACCAACAGAAAATCGCCAAACTTCACACCTGGTTCAAGATTATCAAGATCCTCGGCACCGATATCATCCAAATCCCGTCAAATTTTCAGCCCGATGGCATCTCAGGAGACCTTGATCTTATCATCTCCGACATGATCGAGGTGGCCGATCTGGGCCTGAAGCAAGAGCCGCCAGTTCGCTTTGCATACGAGAGTCTCGCCTGGGGTACCTATGTCTCAACATGGGACACTATGTGGGAAATCATCCAACGGGTGGATCGCCCCAATTTTGGTTGTTGTCTGGATACCTTCAACATCGCCGGTCGGGTATGGGCTGATCCCGCCAGTCCTTCGGGAAAGGTCCCTGACGCAGATGCTGTGCTGGCCCAGTCGTTAGATCACCTGGTCAAGACCATCGACGTAGAAAAGGTCTTTTATGTTCAGGTTGTCGATGCAGAAAAGATGGAGCAGCCGTTGGTCCCAGGCCACCCATTCCACGTTGATGGCCAGCCGGCCCGCATGAACTGGAGCCGCAACGCGAGATTGTTCCTGTATGAACAGGACAAGGGTGGCTATCTCCCTGTAGTCGAGGTGGCGCGCGTAATTTTGAAGGAGCTCGGATTCGAAGGATGGGCGTCAATGGAATTGTTCTCCAGAACCATGGCAGATCCGGATCCGAGCGTGCCACAGAGTCATTCCCAGCGAGGTATCCGAGCCTGGCAACAGTTGGCCAAGGAATTGGATCTATAATCACGATCATGATGGATACGTTGACATCAACCATTATCTGGGACATGTTGCAGCTGAGCAAGGAAGTCTGTATCTAGATTTCCTGCATAAAACCCTAAGTTCTCGGCAAATGTGGGCTCATTCCTGTAATGATTAGTATGAATAAACAATAACCGGAATATCGACATACCTTGTTTGTGGAATAGAAGCCACCATTTCCTCAAAGAGAGCATCGAAGTCTTCAGGCTCTTGAGCCTGTCTTTCGTTTCCAGTATCCATAACACTAGGAGTCGTGGGCAAGCCGGGCATGGCCATTACTTGGTCTGTTACCACCGTATTCCCCTGGGCAAGATCAAATCCATCGTAGAGAGTGCCTCCAGGCGCCAAAGGCCGCTGAGAATGGTGTCGTGTCACTGGCATGTAAGGCCACTCAAGATGATTCCCCACGGGCAACCATGTAAAACGTAGCGCCTCACTTGGAGCGCCACCCTCACTACTTCGCTTGAGCTTCTGCATATGATTGATCAGTCGACTGCTCAGCTGCTCCATTCCCGGCCCCAATATGCTAGGAGCACTCTGTAGACACCGGTAGGCCTGAAAGGAAAAGCAGCGAAGCAGCGGAGATGAGCCCGCCATTCCAGTGATTCCTGTATATGCATCCAGTATCTCAAGAGTAAAGCGCAGGCTAGTCAAGGCCAGCGGCTTGATGGCCGGATCGAACGTCTTGTGCTTCAGCGCGAGAGAAAATACCACGAAGGCTGTGGTTAGATGTAGCGTAAGAAGAGGAGGGCTTGCAAACTCAAGACCGCGATAAGGCCGCCTAGCCGTCACAAGGTCTTGCAAGTTCCGTAGCTCAACTATGAGCTCCTGGATAGGGAGGGTCCCAGATGGATAATAGAGTATCTGAGTAAGAAATCGCATCAGTCCGTGAATAAGGTTGAGACTGCTTAGAGCTCGCAAGGGGCCTTTGGTGACGACACTGCCTCCTGAAGACTGGTCAGGTCGCAGCATAGACCACAGCTCCCATTCGTCCACATCGTCCTCGCTCACTAAGGCACACTGTCGCAGATCATCAAGCGAGGCACAAGGAGCTTTCTCCAGGATTGCCGAAGTAAGATTGTCGATCAAGATGCATCCATGCCGGATGTGTATGTAGCGAGCGTACCTGACAGATTCTGGAAGCATCTCGAGCATCCTCGTGGCTTCGCCAACTAGTACCCACGCAAGACGCAGATGGCCCACCCCCAGGTAAAGGAGGGTGACGATCAACAGAGATTGAAGATGGCCAAGCTGCAGCCGGTCAATGTCCCTCAGGACTTGCAATCGGATGGATTGAGCAATCTGCGTTGGGTTGACCTGGCTGCCCCGACCCAGTGTATCATGCATTGCCGATGAATAGGCGACAATGGCCCATAACACTAGACGACAGGCAGCCTCTCGAGCCGACCATGACGCATCTGGAGGGGTGTGCAGGACGCGGAGGACGTCCCGACGCTCGACGATAGGAAGCCAGCTGTGGATATGGGTAAAATAGAACTGCAGCAGCTGATCGGCATTACTCGGTATGGGTTGATTGAGGTATTCCACTGAGACAGCCTCAGATATTCCGTGCTTGCCAGGGGTTCTTTCCTGGGCAATGCCCTCTCTTTCCTCTCCTCCCCCTTCATCAATGTCGCATGCTCGTGATGCAGTTTCTGCAAAATCATCAAGCTCGCTACTCGACTCATCCTGTGAGTCTGGGTTCAGCACTCGATACACGTATCTGGCCAGCCTGGACTGTCGCCCACGCTCTGCCAATTCACTCGCCGGTAGCTGCGTCTTGCACTGAGGGTCGCGCAGGAAGCGTCGCAAGACATCCTCATTACGAGGGAACCGCTCGAGAAAAAGGCCCAAAGTCACCTCTAGACTGCGAACATATCCCGACTGCAATCCCCGGTGTCGACTGATGTTTTCATACGTGCAGGTCCTGCCAGCCGAGTGGCAGATGGTGCAGACTGGCTGGTCTCCGTCGCATTTGGATTTTCGACGCCGACACTGATCACAGGCGCGAGCGATGCGCTGGCGCTTCGATGACCTGGATTCAGGCATATCATATGCCGTTATTAGCGGCTACTGAATTTATCCGATGGTTTCTCCTTTTTCACGATGCATATTCTTGTGCTGCAGTTGAGTTTCAGTCTGGATCATGTGATCGGCAAGGAATTTACGCGGTCTCACTTTGACTGTCCAGTTCGTCCGCTCACTTTGCCACAGCTGAAGCAGCCAGCAATGACTTGAGATGCTGGAATTTGAGCGTTTCTACCATAGCAGGCTCAATGTCTAGTCTCAGCTCCCCTTTGACACCATGCGACCGCCTTGTAGCTATCCCTTGCCGGCGGTACAGTGCGGACGCCACCCTGCTACTCGTGGGATTCGTCGGCGCCGGAAAGAAAACCCTAGGCATCATTGCATCGGTCGCGCTGCGTCGCAGGTTCATTGATTTTGATGCTGTATTTCGCCAGGAGGTGCACCTATCTCCTCAGGAGTACATTGCGCACAACGGTCCTGCGCGATACCGGGAGCTGGAGCTAAAATTGACTCGCTCGTTGCTAGAGAAATGCTCTACAGGATGTGTAATAACCATCACTGGTGTGGGATGGTCAGCGAATCGCCAACAGCAGGTGCTTCTGAAGGAATTTGCACAGAATCATCCTGTGGTGTATGTCAGACGCGACCGGGTTGATCTTCAGCAGTTCATCATGACCACTAGCCCTGACAAGTTCAACCGTATCTTTGAAGCAGGCAATGAGTTTTTCCAGTCATGCTCCAGCTTTGACTTCTTCAATCACACACAAGAGAAGGTGACTGACTATGCTGGTCGCCCACTCCCGGCGTATATCAAACTCAAGGAGGCTGAGAGGGTGTTCCTGAGGTTTTTGCATCAAGTCTTCGGGCGCGCTTTTCATGTGCTCTACTCCTCGGACCCGTTTTCACCGTCTCATACATATGCGCTGCAGGTGCCGTTGACCTGGTTGGAAGATAATCCGGACTTGGGACTTCTGGAGAGTGGTACTGACGCGGTTAATCTTGTGATTGACGGGGGTGCAGCTGATCTTGATGATGGTCGTTTCATGGAAAGGATTGCCAAGCATATGGCGACAATCCGGAAACATACCCGGGTTTCAGTCTCCATTGAGGTTCCTCAGCAGTCAAATCCTAGATGCCGCCAGCTCTTAGAGATGCTTTTTCGACTGGCGCCCGATGTTGTGGCGTGTCCTGTTGACAGCCCCGACTTTAGCCGATTAAAGCTGGCCAAAGGTCACACAAAGATCATTGCCACCTATCAGTCAACCTCTATGACGGGAAACCAGAGCATCTTTCCTGAAGTTCGCTCTCTCTTAGAAAAGACAGATGAGCTTGGCTTTGACGCTTTTCGCATCACTTCGGAGCCCAACTTCCCTGGCGATCTCAGCAACCTGAATTTACAACAACGGCTGGGTGAGATAACCGACATCCCCATAACCGCATACCATACTGGGCCACTCGGCCGAGCATCTATATGTTTAAATCCTATTCTCTCACCAGTGATACTCCCATCTTTACCAGAAGGTGACATAGGAGTCACACTCGCATCAGCCCAACAAGCACTTACCTCATGCTACCTACTCACAAAACAAACATTCACCGTTTTTGGCCAAAGAGTCCAAAACAGTCTATCACCAGCAATGCACAACGCAGCCTACAGTGCCTGCGGCTTACCACACACTTACAACATATTATGCAGCGATCGATTCTCCGATATCCACAAGCTCCTAAACAGCACTGAACACGGCGGAGTGGCTGTAACACTACCCTACAAAACGGACGTCCTCACCCTGCTGGATGAAGTCAGTCCAGATGCCCAGGACATCCACGCCGTAAACACAGTGGTCATTCAGCGGTCCAACAATCCCTCTTCCAAAATTCTCAAAGGATACAATACAGATTACCTCGGGATCCGCGACTGCATTTACAAGCATCTCTCTCCCGCTAATGCCATTCGACATGGCACAACTGCCTTGATAATAGGCGCAGGCGGTATGGCCCGCGCCGCTATCTACGCATGCTACCAGATCGGCGTTCGTCAGATGTGCATCTATAATCGGACTAGCTCCAATGCGCAGAAACTAGCTGAGTACTATACTCGGTGGGCTGAGAAGAAGGACACCCGTTTGCAGATTGAGGTTCTGCGGTCAAGCAATGACCCCTGGCCGGCGGGGTTCCGTCAACCGACAATTATCGTGGCGTGCTTGCCTGCGCCAGCCGGTGGACAGTTACAGGCTCCTGTTATGATGGAGATATCGGAGCAGTGGTTGAGGAGTACGACTGGAGGTGTTTTTGTCGATGTATGTGTGTGATATACCCAGAGTATCTGAAGAAGTGCTAACTGGATAGGTCGCATATGGAATGCCACAAACGAAGCTGAGAATGGCTATGAATGAACGATCGGGTATGGGCTGGGTCGTGGTTGATGGGCTGGTGGTGTTGCTGGAGCAGGGAATTGCGCAATATGAGCTGTTTACGGGGAGGCCGGCGCCGGTGCATGTTATGAGGGGGGTGTTGAGGGAGTATACTAATGCTGTTACATAGCAGGCACTGTGTGTACCTTGCAGGTTTATATTGTTTCTGTTACTTTTCAGCGATACTATAGTTGATTTCCATGCACTAAAACGAATACCTGGCATTATAATTGCCACAGATATGATCATCATTCAGTTGTTCAAATCACTATGAGCATTAAATTAACATACTCCAAGCGTTTACAATTTTTTTTACAACTTCCCAACGCAAAGAGTACAGTTAAAGACTCTGAAACTAATCATATACCCATTTCATTCCATTCAATCATACTTTCATCCATAAGATACCCTTACATACACACACCGCCTCACCTCATCCCACATACATTCCAAAGTAACAAGGTTACAACAACCCAATAACAATATCACCATACAACTGCGCATCCAAATCCAACTTCACCTTAGCATGCAAGTTCAAGTGAATGCTGATCTTGAGGTTGGATTTCTCTTCCTTGTTGGCCGTCAAGCCGGGGGCCTTCATGCCTTCGTTGGGGAGGATGGCGCTGGCGGCGCTGGCGGCTTCTTCTTCGGCGCGGTTGTTGCGGCGGTTGCCGGTGGGGGTGTTGCTGGTGGGAAGGGGAATGTTAGTTGGGATTGGGGTGGGAGAAGGAGGTTTTGGTGTAGATGCTGCAGCGGGAACAGATGCAGTTGGGGGAGTAGGGGAGGGGGGCTTGGAGGGTGGTTTGGGGGTAGTTGTGGATGAGGGATTGGTAGTGGGAGTGGAAGTAGGGCTGGAGAATTGAGGGTGTTACTATGTAGGTATGTTGGGATGTTGATGGATGAGGGTAGATTGGGATTGGGGATAATGGGAACGGTGTAAGAGGGGGACGTACCCTGGGGAGGAAGAGTCGGCCATTGTGTCTTCAGTGGATGGAATTGGAGGAGGTTGGTAGGTGGATTTGACTTGTTCTTGTCCTTGGTCTTTCTCCTTGACGGTGGCAGAGAAGTGAGGAAGAGGACGAGGATGAGGATGAAAATTCAAAAACGAATCGGCGAGGGAAAAGTGCGAGTAGAAGTATGTCGAGGACAGCGACTCAGACTCGGACTCCGAATACCTAGACGAAGACGAAGAATAGGAAGAAGAATAGGACGACGATGAAGAAAAAGAATCCATGTAAATAGCAGACACAACTAAAGCCCCCGATTCCGCCTAAACTACTTTATAAATCACCCCATTTGCAAAGCTAAATTAACTTCCTCCATCTGCAAGTCTAGCGATTAGTTCCGACCAAGTTGCATCGACTCCACCCCATCCACCCTACTTAATGCGCCGATCTGACTTTTTTTCTCCTCTTCCTTCTGATTATTTCCGTCCTTATCCATCTCGCTTGCATTATTTTCTCTCCGATCCTTGTCGTTCATCCTGGCTAGCTAGCTAGGCACCTACTCACGCTCACTAGCATAATTCACTTGTCAGTCAGTCAGTCAACATGGTCCTCGGCATCGCCATGATGGCCACCATGCTCCCAACCATGATCGGTCTGAACCAAGCGAGTCAACACATGCGCGATAGCGAAGATAATCGGAAAGAATCCAGTCGGAAACAACGCTGTCATTTGTTAGTGAACTGCTCGGTGAATCAGGGTACGACGGAACAGCGCGAACAGATTCATAATGCGATGGTGTATGTGGGTCCTGAGAACCGAGTAAGTCTCCTTTCCTTCTCTTCTACCTTCTTTACACTATCTACTTCCATCCTGGGTATGCCTATTGCGGGAATATGCACATCCCAGAGATGGTAGTCTGTTTCCCATCCTGCAACCATCATACCACATCTACATAACCCATCCCTGTCTCCCCCATTTTCTAGCTCCAACCCTAGAAAACCCACTTCATTACCCAGAATTAATCTGTACCTGCATTGAAACAACCGAAAAAGAATCTAACCAAAACAGCTCTACATAACCAAAAACCCCAACCACAACACCATGACCCCCTTCAATGGGGGCTTCTTCACACACCCACAATTCCCACCCGACAACACAGCCGGCCTGGTAACCATCACAGGCGAGACACCGCCCACATTACGCTGGGTCTTCCTGGACGTCACCACGCACGAGGTGTGCTGGGGTGGGCGGGCCGAGAGCGAGGGCCAGGTGTGTGGGCCATTTGACTGGACGAAGGACGAATCGCGAATGACGCTGGAGGGGTGGGAGGGGTGGTTGGCAGTAAGGTTTCCGGGAGTGGATGACGAGGGGGTTTGGAGGTTGTGGTTTGATCGAGAGGATAATGGGGCTGGGTTGAGGGAGATGGGGAGGGAGGTGCTAGGGTTGGAGGTTGTGCTGAGAAGGGTAGCGGCTGAATCTTGATTTTACTTGGTAATTTTTTTCTATTCATTTATTTTCTCTGGTGTTTATTTTTTTGTGAGTTATTTGGGAAGGGGGTGTATGGTTTGTATGATAATGATTATTTCCTGGAAAATGGAGAAATGAAATGAACGGTGGAGATTTGCTAGCTGGGTGGATGGATGGTGGAAGCGGATCGGGACGCACGCGCGAACCAGAACCTGTGCTTGGGAGGATGCGAGATCCGCTGCGGCTGGAGAGGAGTCGGTGGTTTGGACCTATAATAGTGCACAGATGGGGCAAGAGCTGAAGCTGAATCCTGCAAGCTGAGATCCACTGCCTTGGTTGCCTGCCTTGATTATGGGGATCGTCCTTGTTGTCTAGGTTTGACTGTCTATTGTTTAACTTTTGACGAAGGTTGATGATAGTATCCGAGAATGTTGGTTTACGGTGAAGATCACATTATGTCTTCTTGACGTTTGCTGCTCAGATTTACAGTGTGACTAGAGACTATCTATTTCATGTCTATTCATCGATTCATGTCTCGGTAAGATCATCATCCCGCTCATTCCCGGCCTGGTGGATCCCGATCTCGATCATCCCAATCAATCCAATGATATCCATCAAACCCCAAAACTCCTCCCGTCCGACCCGTGCCTGCATTGAGCTACGCTACTGTGCTCTGCGTCTGCTCTGCTCTGCTCATGCCACATCGTGGAAATCTCTCATCTCACGACCGACTCGAAGGAATACTCCCGATGCTGCCTCTCGGCCTCTCACTCGGCAAGTCCAGATCCATCCCCCCATCCATATCCACATCCACATCCTCGTCCTCATCTCCCCAAAACTCCTTTAGGTCTTCCACTCGCCAGGCTGTCGCCCACCCCGTCTCGCGCTCAATTCGCGTCAAAGTCTCAATAATGGCGGTATGTTCCGAGTGATGCGACATCACTTTGCCAGCCAGCCACAGCGGCTGCAGGGCATTGGTCCAGCAGCCACTATTCCCCATCCATTAACTCTATTCTTAAACTTTTAAGACATACTGCGTAGAGCAAGTATATCGTAAAGTAAGGGCCAACTTACTGATGTGTATTTGATGCGGAAATAGCGCAGATTTGCCGCGCGTGCCACAACACCGATTTCTAGACCTCATTATTAGTATCAGTATTAGTAAGTAAGTATATCCGAGGATAAACAGATGCCCAAGTGGAAGAAATTATCCGATCCTTCGGATGTAATCATCACTATGAAACAGACAGAGAAAATTTGACTCACCGGTCGCCGTGGCAGGGATACCGTCTTTGGTTTTCGTTGCAGCAAAAGCAATGCACAGGCATGGTAGAGCTGGTTTCCTGAAACTAGAATCCACAAGTCAGTACACACATCCATGCCATCTGCCTACGGATACATCCACAATTTCCTAATTAGGAAATTGGATAAGCAACATACTAGCAGCCCCGTTCCCATAGAGCACCGTCGGAAACGGTCTTTCCCCATCGCCCCTCCCCATTGTCTTCCGTCCCGCTGTCAGGACAAAAATCGGCTTCATCTGACTCGGCCGGTCCTCATACCACTGCTCCACATCATCAAACAGGCGCTGCCACCGCTGCACATGCGATTCGCCCTCCCTGGGACTAGAGAGATAGTTGCATGACACGCAGGACGCTGGTAACTGGCTGCTACCGCCGAAAAGCACCCCTAATGTCTGGGCACACAGGAAGACAGTGTAATTGGCGTACGTGTCGAAGGTAATCATGTTTGAGGCGAGAAAGAGCTGGGATGCTTCCGTGGGGCTCATGTCGCGCGGAATCCAGTGGTGGATCGGGATAATGGTCTCTTCTTCGGAGATGAGACCTCCGCAGACGTCTGTAACAGTATGTCGTGCATTAGTCTACTAATATCTGAGAGGATGTGTGCGGGGGGGGTGACACCAGGAACAGGGATAAAGTAGGTAGACTAGATGCAACTAACCCATTCGCGCGAAGCACCAGAATAGCGCTTGCTCCTCTTTACCCGAGAAGCCGTTGATTTCCGCGGCTTGGATAAGGTAGGCGCATCCGTCGAGGTGTCGGCGCCACTCTTTGGGGTTGCCTAGACCCGTCAGTGGGTGGAGACGTCGGAGGGGAAGAGAGGGGTACATACAGCTGAGCATCTCGAGGACGCATAAAATGACGCATGACGCGATGACAGGGGTCGTCTTCTGCTCTAGCTCCGGAAGAAGTTGATGGATGGCCTCTTGGTATAAGAGAAGACTTTCTGATTGCGACTTTTTGTTCTGCTGTCGCTCCATCTGCCGTGCTGACAGGGCAAGGATGGAATATCGTAGATGTGGCGCCGACTTGGCCATCTGAGGGAAGGTCGATGCGAAGTGTCGGTGGTTGTCGAACATGTCCAGCTGCAGGATTAGTATTTGTCCGGCGGGGTGTCTGAATCACTTACCCAGAGACAGATTTCGTTCAGGTAGTTCTGCCAGAGTATGTTTTCGCGCTCGGGTGTCAGTTCAAAGTCCCGTCCTGGTCTGGACTGAGCTCGTCTGCTTCTCTGTATACGTGAGGTGTTCGGCGTGGGTCCGTCAAATCCAAGCACTGATGCCGGGGTACTTGCGCGACTGGGGATTTCTGTCCGAGCAGTCCACAGCTGTCGATTACGCAGCGTGGTATGAAGGGCTTCGTAGGCCGAGCCCGGAACGAAAACATCATTTGTCAAATTTGCCGGATCAGAAAAGACGCTATGATCGAACAATGGAGATGTTATAGGCTGGTAGACTTCAGGTCCGGGAAAGTGTCCCGCATTATTGGAGAGGTTGCGCAGAGCAGTGAGCTCATCAACAACAAACTCAGGACTAGAATGGATGTACGGCTGGTGAGGCGCTTCATCAGGGTATAGGTGAGGTAGCTCACTCGCCTGATGAGGTGACTGACCATTTCCAATATTAATCTCTTGAGCATGGAAACTGTGATGCGAAAGAGGCGACACAGCCTGATTAGAACCAGGACTAAGCACCGTCGGGTGAGCATCCGGTGCTGCTCCGGATACATTTTCCAGACCATCCGGCCGCACCACTTCACCCTCACCCTCACCATTACCTGGAAGCGATCGTGCCGAAGGCGATGACCCTCTCCCTTCATCAACCGGCGGACTCAGCTGCCGTTCTTTTCCAGCAGCTCGGGAAGGAGAAGGAACAACATTCAGAATCTACCAAGCAACATCATAAGCCAACAACACCTACCCAATTTCTAAAGAAGCAAAAACTAACCTTGAATTTACTCTGTTTCCTAGTCCCCCTGGCCGTTTGATTCATGGACGGATGCCCCGGTTCCAGAACCTTGATGTTGGCCTCGCGGAAGGACCCTAGCATGCGCCATTGGCACTTGTCGCCGCGCCGTTTGCAACCCGTGCACGTTGGCTTTGCTTCGTCGCCTGGGTAAGTCAGCAATGAGCAGTGGTATCTAACTAGATAGGTAACTAGTTATTGTGGCTATCAAGCTCCATTGCTTGCTTGCTGCTTACATTTTCGCCGGCGCCGGCTGCAATTCACGCACCCCGTGCGGGTCCGTTTCCGCGGAAGATGACGAGAATCGGCGCAAGGCATAGTTTGTAGTTCGATAGGTTGTGATACTTCAGCCATAATTCCCTGTCATTTGTGTACGATAGAGGAATTGTGAAGAGGGAAGTTTGATGGGTGATGATGTGGGATCGCGGGGAATGATGGGGGAAGAAGAGAGAAAAATTGCCTGATCGGGAAATGATACCCGCCGGGGAGAATGTGGGGAAAGTCGGGGATTTCCCCAGACATTGCATTTAGCCGGTCGAATTCATTCAGGGATGTTGTTGAAGATAGTAATCATTGCAATCGGTCATGGAAATCTAACTCATACACAATATACCTCTACTCTACATGCTCAACACTCTCCTTGCCTGTCTTCTCGTCCACTCGCTCGCTGGCATCCCCAACGGCGCCCATCGACGCGTGCCAGTGCAGCTGGACCTTTTCCCCGGTAAATAGCCGGTCCACTTGTTCCAGGGTAAGGTTCCGTGTCTCCGGGTAAAAGAAATAGATCAGGGGGAGGAAGAAGAAATTGAACACTGTGATGTCAGCTTTAATCGCTAAACGGAGAGAGAATAGACTTACCAGCAAAATAGATATACGTGCGATAGCCGATGCTCTTGATGCTGACTGGGGTGATTTCCACCACCAGGAAAGTAAAGATCCCTGCAATCATTAGCGTTCGTTATTTCCGCATGGAAATTGTAGGACGTACAGTTCGTAGCAGTGGCGAGAGCCGCAGCTTGAGATCGGATAGACAGCGGAGCATATTCGGCGGGCACTACTATCATTAGCCAGGTCCACAACCGCCCAAAAGGTGGTCAACTTACACAACCAGGGAATGGCCAGCAATCCCACACCAAAGAAAAAGTTGAACAGAAACAGCATTACCGTGGCGACAATACCAGATGCATGGCTACCGTCATATACCGTGCCCGCCAGGATCGCCATGCATGCGCATTGCCCGGCCGCCGCGAAGAGCATCAGTTTCCGACGACCCAGCCTATCTTGTCAGCCACCGACCACAGTACACCATGACATGTATGGAACTTACCGATCAATAGCCCAGATAGGAACAAATGTCGAGGCAAAGTACGCCACGCCGTTGAACCCAGCCATCAACAACGCCAGGTTATGGCTCATGCCAACTGAATCCTCGAAGATAACCGTATTGTACTACTCAGGTCAGACACCGATTTCGTTGTTCTCAAAGTCAAGGCACCCACGTATGTAATTAAGTTGACACCCGACAGCTGCTGCATCATCTGGCCACCCATTCCCAGTAGCGTCCGATAGAAGAACTTCTGGTGGCCGTTTTTGAAGACCAGCTTGAATGACCCTTCTTGCGTGGCCTCTCGCTCTTCAGCGATAGCGGTAGTTATTTCTGTAACATCGGCAGTCACTGCAGCGTCGTCCTCGTCGATGAGTCGGGCGTTGGGCTGGACAGCCCAGATGACATGTCGTGCTTCGTCGTGTCGGCCATGGGCAATAAGCTATCATCGTTATCATTAGTGATACTTCCATACGCAGCAAGGAAGGAACGGGCATACCCAGCGAGGAGACTCGGGAAGCACGATAATGCCCGCTAATGTGATCACGGCAAAAAGGATCTGCAAGGCAATGGGGAAGCGGAACTGCGCATCGTTGACCACGTAGCTCATTCCGTAATCTTCAACTGTCAGCCCTGGCTCAACATGTTTAGTAGATGGCATACTCACCAACCCAGTATGCCGTCATCACGCCAAAGATGTTGATACATAGCTCAATCGCAAGCTACAGCTGTTAGAACGGTATCAGAGTCAACTGATTGTCTCCACTCACCCCCTTTCCACGACTCGCTGCCTTGCTCAGCTCCGAGTGCCAGACAGCTGCCATCGTTAGCCTTGTCCGTCCATCTCATATTCTAAACACAACGTACGGATAGTACTAGTGTTGAGACCATTCCCAACTCCAGCCACAATCCGGCCCACAATCAAGTGAGGGATACTATATGCACTGCATTGCAATGCAGCTCCGATCGAAAGAATAATGCAGCCAGCTATGATGCACCACCGCCGACCGATACGTTCACCAATCAATAAGGCAATGATCGCCCCGAAGAAGCATCCGATCTCATAGATGGCAGTGCTGACCACGTCAGCTATACCTAGCCCATCCCAATACACATCGTATGAATAACTTACACCGTCCCCTGCAACGAGGAACTCCCATGTCCCGTAGCGGTGGTGTCTATCTCCGGGAATGTTCGAGTAAAGGCCGTCCCGGTCAAAAGACCAGACATGACACCCTGATCATAGCCGAATCTAAGCAAGGGTCAACTCATGCAATGTGAAAGGGGTGCAGGAAACGCACAGCAGGAACCCACTTCCTGCAGTGGTGGTAATAGCCCATGACAAGGGCTTTCCAACAAGAATAGTCATGTTTCTGTACTCTTCAGACACGTATGAAGACAGGCATAGCGATTAGGGCTGGCGCCATTCAGGGGCTCCATCTACTTTTATAGGGCATGTAACCGCCGATGGACGGCCCGACGTCATGCTTTGCGGATTGCGGGGGTCGGAAGGGCAAAACCGGGGTTGGTGTGGAGGACCACGCAGACCGGGAAGTTTCTACGGTAGCCGCTGATTAGAGTTCTGTCGGTTCCTTGCGAGGCTAGACGGCTATATTCGCAATCAGATGGACATATCTTTTGATATAACCACGCCATGCCTGGACCCATACTAACCCGACCCCAGCATGTTCAAGTCGGTGATGCCTGGCACAATAATTCAATTTAGGACCCTCTGCAGATGAGCAACTTCTATCCCCAACTTGGCCTTCCCGCTAAACGAGAACTGGGTGGAGACCGGGATAGGGCATCGTACGTTTGCCTATACAGTTGCCGGATGCGGTAATGTTACGCGCCTCTGCCGGGCCCACCTCGGCTGGACTCCGGCAACCCGCCGGCGCCATGGTTCCAAGGCCGACTATCGCGAAATTCCCACAAGGGAAGTATTAAGCCCCGTTGTAGTTACCTATGCGATCAACGCCTGCAGCTGTTGGAAGAGTAAACCTAAGAGAAGTGTTGAATCAAGCATGAGGTGTCTGCACAGCAGGTCGGACAGGATCTTCCTAGTTGGGTTGTCGTTAAGCGCTTTCATGAGCTGCTCGTTCCCGTTATATGAACAGCCCGTAGTACCTCCCCTTGTCAGTCGTTCTCCATAGTTTTCAAATCCTTAATCTCCGATCAATTCACCATGTCTCCCTCAATTGCTATCAATAACACCACCCCGGAGGTGGCCATTGACCACACCACTCCCGCAGTTTCAGAGTCCACCCAACCTTCCGTCGTCGGCCGTACAAATGACCTCTTCTCCCTCGGCAACCGCACAATCGTGATTACTGGTGGAGGCCGCGGTCTTGGAATTGTCCTTGCTGGTGCCGTCGTCGAAGCTGGCGGTGATGTCGTTTGCCTTGACCTTCTTCCCGAACCTAGCGCAGAAGAATGGGCCTCCGTGCAGAAGCTGGCTGCGGCCCGTGGCCTGAAAGCCACATACATCAAGTGCGACATTACAGATGAGCAGTCGACGGAGCAGGTCCTCAAGCAAGTTGCCGCCGATGCAATGAGCCGGGGTATGCCCCTTCGCGGAGCAGTGACCTGTGCTGGTATTCAACAAATGGTGCCTGCCTTGGAATACCCAGTTGATATGTGGAAAAAGATGTTGGATGTGAAGTGAGCGACCATACCAAGCTCCAAGACGTACGACAGCAACTGACTATCCAGCGTGATCGGAACATTTATTCCCGCGAAGCACTGCGCCCGCATCTTCAAGGAGCAGAACATCCCAGGCAGCATTGTCATGATTGCTTCCATGTCGGGCCAAATTGCCAATCGGGTTCGTTTTCGGTCCATTGGTGTGTTGATCTAAACTAATGTGGTTGATAGGGATTGACTTGCACCGCATACAACTCCTCCAAGGCCGCAGTGCACCAAATGTGCCGCTCGGTGGCGCAGGAATGGGGTCAGTACGGCATCCGTGTGAACACTCTATCCGCAGGTGTATGTATCATCCTCCCCAGAATAGCGCTCGCGATTCTAATTATGCAACAGTACATCCGCACAGCAATGACCGATGCTCTTCTTCAAGAAAAGCCCGAAGTCGAGGAGACCTGGATGCGCGGTGCGCTACTAGGCCGTCTTGGTGTCCCAGAAGACTTCAAGGCACCGACAGTATATATGCTTGCTGATGGCAGCGGGTTTATGACGGGTACAGATTTGAGAGTGGATGGTGGACATTGTGCTTCTGCTTGAATGATTGATGATTTGGTGCTTTTCAGAGGTTGGCGTTGGGCTAGATACGGATATAGAATAAATGTGTTGTCTGTCACTGATTCGACGCATGAAATGATGCATGCAGGCTGGAGCTCAGCTGTAGGGTGTATTCCCCGATTGGGTAGTAGGAAGTGGGTTTCCCGATCAGGAAAAGATAGCCACATATCAGTCTGAAGATGGCTTGATTGTGACTTGTGGATAATTCCAGATTGATGTGCTATGACGACAATCAAAACTGAGTATATAATGCAGCTATTCTGCAGTTCCTTGAAATGATGTGATTGATGTGTGAATGACAAAGCATCTAGTATTCTATATTTTTCGTAGCAGAGCTTGCAGATAGCATAGAATCTTGCGTGATGATCACGTGAAACAGTGCGAGCATAGAGTCTTATTACCATATCGTGCATAATGTCAAGCATAACTCCAGATGTTCTGTCTGAATAGATGCTGGAGTACTCCGTAGTCAGTGAATGGCTTAACTATCTACTGCGACTGATCTCTAGGAGGTGCCCCCTTTGAATATTTCCATCGTTGAACAGAGTTGGTAGGAGCAGTTAAACCAAACGAAGCGCTACGTTGAGACTGACTCTACTAAAATTATTGAACTTGATAAAACCAGGACTTCTCTAAATACTTGTTCACAAGGTTGGCTCAATTGAAAGATAAATCCATGCATGCGCAATTTCTTCTACTCATCAAGATCATCATCCCTACCAAATCTGGAAACCCAAGGGATCAGACTGATTGTTCGTTCACCTCCACTAACGAGACTAACTACAATGTCTGAAGTCAAGGTCTCAAGCCCAAAAGCGGAAATCTCCCTCCTAAAAGCACTCCGTATGCATCCAATCTCTGGAGTAGCTGGAATGCCTTTGGCATAATACCTCATAATGAGCGAGCCTAATATAGCCAAGAAAGGGAGGACAGGGGCGAAGGGATGAAAGCATCCAGGGTCATCCGCGGGACCTCCGATCCAATACACGAGACCCCTAATTTCCAAAATGACCTTGGCCATTCATCCCTGTCCGACATCCATTCTTGGTTATTCATTCCATGCCTGGCAAGGAATGTGCCGATAACCCAGGCAACGGGGCCTAGATCCGGGTGACAATGGGATTCTGTGTTTCTGAGCTTGTGCGACATTAGAAGGATTCGACTGAAGGGCGGTCTATTTTGGATCAGAGCTTCTCTGGGAAATGTTATCCTGGGCCATGGAAAGGTGGGCAGTTGTTGCTTGGCAATCCTCTAATGTGGTATATCAAAATCGGACAAGAAAATACGTAGAACTCGCGAATATTGGACATTTGGGTTTGAGCAAGAAAATTGCCCGTTCATGTAATATGAACTCTAATGTAAATAGTAGACACTTATTGCAAAAAAAGAATAGGAGCATTATATGTGATGTCAGAACGTCCCGCATGAAGGCGTCTCGATGTTTATGCTGCACCACCTAGAGTAGCTGAACACGAAAATCAAGATAGGACGATTTAACTGTGGAGCAAAACTTTCTCCATCGAAATGGTACTACTAGTACAGAGAGCTATAATTCATGTTGGTCTAACGGTCCCCTAGTAGTATGGCAGCAAGTTTGCCTGGGGTAATCCAATGATGCAAGTCGATCTAAAAATATATATCTTCCCTAACATGACCTGCAATTACATATTTTGACTGTGCCACTGCTACAGATTTGAGCTACCATGAACACTCAGTCACTAGTATGAAATAAATTCTATCTATAGCTTTCAGGAGACTATCATAAGACACACGTCTAAGCAAGCAAGTCCACTTCTGATAGCTTATAGTGGATGCATTTCTACAGGCAGTGAATCAGTGGATGACCTGCATCTGTGACCACGTTCCAGGCCTAAAGAATCCCCCATTCCCCCAGCAATCCAGCCAATCTACACCACTGGGACTGCTACCATACCTCTCTAACAGCACCCAAACTTCACAATACAAGAAATGTCATGTCGATAAGAAATTTACAAGACGTCTAATCATATCTAGAGGGGCAGACTGTGGTGTACATATGTAGGTGGGACAATCCCCCTGATTTTTGTGGATGTACAACCCCCCAAGGAAGCCACCATCGGCCAACCCCTTCCAACATCCAGGTGTTGAGCCAGGGGGCGCAACCTTCGCAACCCCTCAACCATATCATTACCCCCTAAAACCCCTCTCACCTATGTTATCAACACTTACCCTCCTATTTTCATTAACTGATATCCTTCCACGGATCTAGCATCACTTGCGTCAGGAGTAACTACATCTCTACAGCCGCATATTACCTAAGCAGCCTGAATATGACGAGTCCACTCAGCCAGTCGACAGATCATCCACTGATACAGAAAGAGAGACGCACTGCATCTGGATCAACTCCCCTCCCCCCAGTCCCTGAAGCCGCGTCCATCGCATCAACTCCCGAACTACAACAAGGGGAATTCAACCCAGCCGATGGAGCAAAGCCATCCTCACCATTCTATCGCCATGCAACACCATCACTAAATATTGACCGACTGAAAAAGGCGGCCAAAGCGACGACAACACGATACAGCCCCCTTGATCCCGAAGACCCGCCCACGGTTCACCGACAGCCAGTGGAATGCGCGAACCACCGTGAATCGAAGCTCTGGGCCCAGAAGAAACGACGCTGCGGATGGATGCAGAGATTGAGTCGCAAGCAACGCATGGCGGTCAAGGCGACGATTGCTGTCGTGACAGTTGGGACCATGGTTGCGATCGCGCTAGGGATTACTGCTGCTGTCGGAGGAGCCGTGTGGAAGTCTGATACCCAGCAGGTGGTGATCGGGGGGTAGGTGGGTGGCTGGTGGTCAGTCTGGTGTGAGGTGTGGCAGCCAAATCTGTCTCTAGGGAGGTGATGATTCTCTTGGTGATTGCTCCAGATACACAATGCGTAATTCGGGCGAACTGGAACTACAGTACAAACAAGGCGTCGTGGGCTAAGGATGATAATCAAGGGTTGGGGTTGAGCTTCTGTGTACATGTGAGTGTAATGGCAGGGAGCACTTGTACATAAATTGCCATGACACACGCTTCAAGCTGTGGATACAGGAAATGGTGTTGAATGGGTGGACTTTGATGATAGACTTTTCCCCATATCGAGAGAGGAGCAATTAATGCGGAAGCAGTTGATGCCTGACATGGTAGAAGCGGGTGCCTGGCTGCCTGAGAAAATTGACACTAAGTTAAGCGGGAGTGCTCACGTGACGCACACGAACTACAAAAAGCGGGCGGCGGCGACGATCTTTCCTCTTCTTTTTTTTTTCTTCTACATACATCGAAAAGCTTTAACAGAGCCTGCCACGACCGTCGTCCAGCCTTCTCTACGGCGACGTGTTGCCTTCGGTCTACGGACTGATCGGCTCTGGAGAGTAATATTCCTTGATAGGAAGTTTGTCTCTCGTTGGGTCCTCTTCAGTGAGGGCGATGAGGGGTGAATGTCGATGACGGGATACATCTCATTTTAACACCAATGAATATGAATTCAATTTTCAATTAATTGATAAATCAACGTACACCTGAATAAGATTTAATATTAGTAGTCGACTGGTCGAATTGAGGAAGATATTAGACGCCACAGTCCTGCTCAATGAACCTTCGATTCAAGGCAGGGAGAAAATTTGCTAGCTGCCGCGGAGGGTCTGGCATGCGGGCAGGAGTAGGCCACGCGACGCGGCGTTCAAACTGACAGCTGAACTGGCTGGCTTACCAGTATTCATTTTTCCCTGAGCTGTCTGCAGGTGTCGATGGCGTAATAACCATCAGAGGAAACCAACGTTCCTCATCAGGCGGGCGGTATTAGACATCCCCAAAGCAAGCGATGATGATCTGATGTTTTACGTGGTTCGGGCATTCCAGTCCCCTGTTTTCCGCGCGATTCATCCTTAAGGAATGCTGATGGCACAATGGGATGGTGTCTCCTGCGACGACGGGAGCTGATGATGCTCTGCCCATGGGCCACAGGACCTGATCTCAGCCATTCCTCAAGGCATTCTCCGGTCAAAACAATGCCCAGCGAGCTTTGTTTGTTGTACTGGTTGGAAGACGGCCGCATACCAAAGGAAATGTCCTCCGAAGGGATCGAAAATAAAAGGTGCAACAGGGTCCTATGATGTTGCAACCACGAGTTATCCAAACTGCCAAAGCCTGGTCTTTCTTTTATTCGGTCGGTCTTTGGTTACGTTCCTTCTAACTGATCTTTCCTTGGCCCGTTGGCCGAAGTCATTCGTTGATTAAGATCTATTCGTCCCTGTATTCTATCCCTTTCGATATACTACTACGATTGTAATCTGCCGACAACATGAAGGGACTTCAAAGCGGAATCAGCATTGCCATGCTCGCCGGAATGGCCAAGGCTACTCTTATTTCGGGAGAAAGTGGTGTGGATGGTGGCCAGGGGGCATCGCTGCCGATTACGAATGCCTTTAGCTCCACTGCGAATGAGGAGCATTCCGACGATCATTCGGTTGATGTTGATGCGAAGAAGAAGCTCGTGGATGAGTATGCTCACCACGGCCACCACTGGCCTAGGGAGGAAATTAACCAAAAAGGCAATGGAAATGACAACGAACATTACTACGACCCGCACACCAATGTGAAGTCGAGCACAGTGAACGAGTCTCACAAGGGTGACCATTCCGTTCATGTTGACAAGAACCTGGGTGCTGTGAAAGGTGCGACTCACAGCCGCCCACACCACCACGCCCGGTCAGAGCCTGACCTGATCAGTGGTGAAAGTGGAATTGATACAAGCAACTCTGCATCGTTGCCGGTGACGAATGGTTTCTCGTCTACTGACAATGAGGCCCACAGCGACGACCACTCGTCTAAGATCAACAAAGACAAGACGGTTGTCGACGAGGGCGAGCACCACCACCCTCACGGTCACCACTGGGTGCGAGACGACAAGGACCTGATCAGCGGGGAATCAGGTATCGACACGGGCAACTCTGCAT